ATCTATCTATCTATCTATCTATCTATCTATCTATCTATCTATCTATCATGGAGCACCTGTCGCATGGCCACAAGACATTACATTTTGGAGAAAAAATATGATCTACTATCGGATTATAATACATCTAATGCTTCTATTCACATTGTATAGGTTCATAGCTAATAGATTATACTATAAAATATAAGAAAAGATAAACAAAAACAGCTAGATGTGGGCATGTGAGCATCTGTGAAATTCTTTCCCATTCATGTGTCTCCATCCTCATGAATTTTGAATCATTCATGCCCCTGTGAATTAATTTACTCTTCCCTTTTACTGCCAGACTTTGGTACTCATACGGCACGCAGCAAACACACGTAGCTCCTCTCTGGAGACTCTGAGCTTCTTTCTCACTCTGCTTGCACCTGCGGTCACTCCACTGTTCGTGCTATCTGAGCGCTGGATCCACATGCCATGTGGATGCTTCATAAACTGCAAACAGGATCCAACACAGAAACCCTCAGGTAGACGATAAGAAAATGTTGTGATGATTTACCAAGTGTGCTTTTATACGCTCAAAAGTCCAACTTGCTTCCAAATGTGTGAGAAAGAGGCTAGGGGGCTTTTATCCCTCCTTCTTTTTAGTCTGAAGACATAAATACATGACTTTATTTTGCTTTCTTCACAGTGATCAAAAGAAGATTTGAGTTTAACCTGTCCTTCCAGCAAGGCTATGGGGTGTACAAGTTGTCACATGCCACCAAGTCTCAGAGTAGTCCTCCTATAGAGAAGCTCACTTATCGCAGTCTGTTTAACTGCAACTTCGCAAATCCTCATCTTGATGCCCTGGAATGTGGCGGGCTCTCCAGGCTTGGTCCTAATTTTGACTTCAGCACCTCCCGCCCAGCGGACAGCTCCTCTCACGCAGGCCTCCTCCTGGACGTGGCGGCTTGTGGAGGAGAGGCCCTGACGGATGTTCCTCCACCTCCCCACGACAACCACCAGGAAGATGAGGAATTCACTTGCGTCCTTTCCAAACCCTCTCATCACCAGGAGAAGGATCACAGCCTCATTGACACATCATTAATGTTTGACGGACCGGAAAGAAGGCTGTCTCACGAGGAATGTCGGAAAATTGAGCTGACGGACTGGGAGTGGTGCAGGAGTAAATCAGAGAGAACACCCCGACAGGTACAGAACCGTTCAAAGCAGCATGCTAACTTATCTGATCTCAGACCTTTAAATTGAGTTATTTGTATCTGTCATTCTGTGGTTTATGGTTTCCATCTATTGATTTTCCCAGACACTTACTCAGTTGCTTTCATAAAGTAATCAAACAACAGGGGCTGTATCTTCCAACTCACAGTTAATCATCGAGGACTGATTAGTATCACAAGACAATAAGATAGATGCACTTTCCATCTCCCTTTCCTTGTGTACATATTACCAAAACAAAATCAAATTGTGCATTATTGAGGCATCCAATTTGTTTAAGGAGGTGTTTGAAATGGATGCCTGTCTTATTTACTGTTTGCTGGTCTGTTTAGGCCTGGATTTTTTCCAGATCTGGGAGTTTTACTTTTTAAAATCTATCTGAAAGACTGAAATGTGTGCATACAATTCCATACAAATGGGTCAAATCTCTTCTCTCACATCCTCTGTCATCCCTAATCCCACTTCTATTTCCCCTGCTCATTTTGATCTGAATTGTTGTTGAAGACACTCACATAAGCCTCTGTCTCTCTGTTTTTACAAACTCTAACCCTAAGAACATGAAAATCAAACCAACGTACCAAGTTGACCTTTGTTAATTTATTTAGCTACAGTAAGTGAGTTTATTTGGGAAAGGAAGTCCAAGAAGTCAAAGAAGTATGATCAGTAATAAACAGTAATGATCAAGATAGCATGGAACTGGGCTCTATCCACTAATGAATTTGAATACATTTTCTCGTCCTGTTGTTGACATCCTTTGCTACCATGATAGCAGACGCCTAATGCTCTTAATGTTCTGCTAAACCAAACTGAACTTTCATACAAACACAGTAGATGCCAAATGATCAATGCATCATGGCTGGGAGCTAACAGACACAGATGAGAAATTAGCTTCACTCTACTCCTGAAACAGTTGAGTACATCCTTTGAAAACTATGTGCAGCTTTACCAAATAAAATCACACTATTTTGTTTTGGCCTCAGAAAAAATTGAACAGATGTGGAAAAATAACATTTTCAAACACTTGCAGGCATGCATGCACGTGTGCACGCACACACACAAAAAACACATTGGATTTTTTTTCCTGTCTGTCCTATTTTATTTCTTCGGGACACTTGCAAGTTTGAAAGGTTTGGGTATGAAAATCACCGGAGGGCGGAAAATCCACAGAACAAGCTTCTGCAACTGTGGTTTGGCACTCACTTTGCATCATGTTTAAGTTTGAAAGGGTTATGGCTGGCTTGTGTGTAGTATATGTGTGTCTGTCCAACTTCTTAGTTCCTTCATTGCAAAGTCTGTTTTATGTCTCCTTCCGGCTTATTCATTGATTTGAGTCTGTAGATGCAGAAGCAAAAGCACAGGATGCCTGAATGCCGTTGCGTTAATGGCACACAATTACAAAAAAACATGAACTCTTGGCCAAACGGCAACAATGAGAAACAACTAAAAAAAGCACAATCGCCAATCTGCAAAAGAATATAATGAAAAGAAATTAGCTCACAAACACACCCAGCTAATCACCACTGTACACACACACCAAGCCAACCCAAAGATGAAGACCCAGCTGAAATACTTTGTTTAATGTTTTCCCTCTCTGTGTTTTGTTCCTCGTTAGCAGACTAGATGTCATTACCCTGTGTCTTTTCTTCCTACAGTCAGCCCCTCTGGCCTTCTGCATCCACAGGGAGAGGTGGAATTAGAGCTTAATAACATATTTACCCTCTCCGTGACTTTATACTCTGCAAGCCAGCATAGAGCCGGGGGTGCACTTACAAGCCCTTTCCCTGAGGGGGATGGTGTCTGATGTGCATTCACATGTAAGACGCTGAAACCTGTTTATTCTTTCATCCAAAGCTGCAAAACAATGTTTCATAGTTGAATGTGGTGAATGATAAAAACCCAATAGATTTAGAGTAGAAATGGGAAGAAATAGATATAATTTTGATAGGACTTTTAGGCATTTGACATAGACTTACCATTCTACGCATTCGCTGCTCATGGATTCGCAACGTTTTCAGTCAGAAAACAACTAAAGTTGAGATCCACAAAAGTAACCAGAGAAAATGCTGTGTTAAATAAGACTCAGTACTTTCAAGTCTGGAACTCCACCAATGTGTCCTTTTAGTTTCTAAACAGGCCTGTTGTAGTGGGTGTGTAATACTTTTAGGAATTAGACCATCTCAAACAATGTCCACGTGCTTGGTCAGTAGTTTCATCTAAATCAGACAGTTAGATGAACTCTTAAAGAGCAAATGTGCATTGTCTATATTAGATAGGCCATAATGTGCCAGTGTTTATTTGTTTTCTGTCCGTGGCTGCCCTAAAGCCTTTTTGTCCTTTCATGTTTTTCTTCTTTAATGGGGTCAGTTCATGTACTGTTGCTTGTTCTTGCAATATACATATTTAATATAGTATATATCATGTTCCACTTTTCGATACCCATTACAGACTCACACTGCTCCTTCCTCTGTACCCTCAGACAACAATCACCACCACAAATTGCTACACTTAATTCCTTTTTGTTGCCCTCCAAACGTTAGTCTTTTTCTGCATGCCTTTGACAGCGGGTGTTCCACAGTGTAGAAATTAAGCACAGTTTTCATTACTGTTAACATTTTTACATTTATTATTGATGTATTTTTTATTATCATTAATACATTTACTTCATTCTTTGGTTTTAAAGCTAATGATCACTCGTCAATACAGATTCACAAAATAGAGGGAGATTGCATTTATGTAATCCTCTAGGCTGCTGTTTTAAAATCATAAGAAAAGACCTAATTGATCCATTTCAGCAAATCAGTTCATTACGTTTCATTTATGTTTTTTTTAATACCATGTGTGTTATTTGATAGTATCAGAAAATGCTATAATGCTTGTGAACGTTAATGGCAGATATGATGGATATGACCATTGATTTCAAGTGTGATTTTATAATTAGTGTCAAACGCAGAGTACACATGAGGCTGATGAGAAATTTAAAGCAGAGAAACAAAGTACTAACAACATGGATCTCCAAATTACATGAGTGTCATTTCAGGAATCAAACCAGGAGCTTTCTTTATGTGAGGTAGCAGCACTAGCCACCACACTACTGTGCAGCCCCCATTATGTTCGCAGCCTGTGAGTTTCGATCAAAATTATAAAATTGCTGCTTTACACAGTCTTGTTACTCCTACATTGGTGGGTTCAAAGCATGGGATAATTAACTTGGTGAAGAGTTTTCAGTTCATCATTGAAGTCTTTTGTTTCCCTCAGTTGAGAACAATGCAGGCACAACACATTCAGTCAGGGAGGACAAGAGATTGACACCTTCTTTTTTTTCTGCAGCCCATCACTTTCACAATTAAACAATCGCAATGAATTTAGATAAATAATTCATAGGATTAATGAGTCCTGCCATGTTGTGTGGCTTTTTCTCTCCTCTTCCAACAACATGCATTGTGTCATATTATTTCTCCCTCTCATTTACTTCATGTTGACATCGTTGTGAAATAACTCTTAAATTGTGACATGAAAGCAAAAATCAACTGAGGAAAAAGAAAACTAGCAAGAAGCTTGAAGAAATGTAATCAACGTATCAGAAATAAATGGTATGATACATATAGATTTTAGTTAATAAAAAATTCATGGAGCAGTTAAATGACTTATCAATCACTTAATTTTGGGGGGAAATGCCTTCTTTTGACTTCTATATGCCTGGAGGACTCGTATCTGACTCCAGCTGCAGTGTTCCGTTGATAGGACGTTTTAAGCCTCAGGTGATAGAAATGGTTGCTCAACACATTCATCTCCCTGCACTTCACATCATGATCACAATCTGAGCCTAATTTGCCGAAACAGTAGGAATGAAGCAAAGAGGATCAAGTTGTTTTGGTGCATCATATATAATAACCTGGTTATATAAGCTGATTTTTTTTACATGTCAACAGTCTGATTTGGTGTTCAGATAGGTGCAAAGACTATGGATTAGACTGTGTAGAAGGCCCCTTTCTCTGTTAGTATTTATGTTTTTGCAACAAGGCTTCGGACACCGCCTAAAATGACAACTGAAGACATTTACTCAATGCTACTCCGGCTTAATAACTACTTGAGAAACCAAGAAATGTTGAAGAAATGCAACTTTTACTGCATCTAGAGCAAAAAGAAAATGTTAGAGTGGACAGTATGAGTGTTAAATTGAGCTTTGGCAAAGATATCTAAAGTAGAGAAGGCCGGAAGCACTTGACTGATTTTTATGTTGGCATAACTGACAAACAAGATTTGTCCCAAGGTTTATTGCACATGGGGTATCAACAGTAGTGTGATGTGTGTATACACGTACAAACTAAGCTTGATACAGAGTTTTCACTGCTTTGAGATGAAGATGATGAAGTGCAGGGTGAATCAAAATTTACAGAAATCTTTTTCTCCACTACGCTGATGTTGCACTGTGTGTGATCTTTCCCACAAGATAAGACCTCTAAATTGACAATTTTTTATTTTTCATGTTTCTGCTTCCCTGGACAGCGATCATCAGGTGGCCTGTCGATCCCTCTGTGCGCCTTCCAGGGCACTGTATCTCTGCAAGCACCCACAGGAAAGACACTCTCGCTTTCCACCTACGAAGTCAGCAGTGACGGTCTCAAAATTTCCCCCAACAATGCTAAAAAGGTAATGTCCCCGACTGGTCTCTTCCTACTGCTGCTTCCCTTTGCTTAAGCTAGTTAATTTGATATTTCTTCACTTTATCTCTCTGTCTGTCTGTCTATCTTCTTCAACAGTAGAATATCTGCTTAGGGCTGAAGGACAGTCTCATTATCAGATAAATGGGAAATCAGTCCTAACCTATTTAATATGTTATGCAACAGATATTGTGGTGAGAGTATTATCGTTGAATAGAGTATACATCTTTGTTTAGAGCCAAGTGAGCTGAGGTCAAATTAGTGATATTTCATGGGTTATAAATAGCCAGTGTAATGAATGTCTCTGCTTTAAAGGTGGAAGTGTACCGCTCCAAATCTGTTGGCCATGAACCAAGCGCGGATGACGCAGCGTCCGGGGGCCAGGCTGCAGATGTGAATGTCAGCTGCGTCGGAATGGGCATGGAGATCGGTGTGGGGATGGGGATGGGGATGGGGGCTGGAGTGGGAGACACCAACGTCAAGATCCACCTCGAGGTTCTGGAAATCTGCGATAACGAGGAAGCCATGGACAGTGTCTCCATCATCTCGAACATCAGCCAGTCCTCCACCCATGCTCGCTCGCCATCGCTGCGTTACTCCCGGAGGGAAAACCGCTTTGTCTCCTGCGACCTGGGTGAGACTGCGTCCTACTCTCTGCTCATCCCCACCGGTGGCAGCACAGAGGCAGAGACCATCAATATCACTATACCTGACACTGTGGAAGCCCACCGGCAGAACAGCCGGCGGCAGACACAGGAGAGCTGTGGGTATCATGAGGATATACAGCTGCTTAATGAGGCCTACAGGAAGCAGGCAGGGGAGGAGGAGGACTGACTTACCTACAGAATTACAAGAGCTTTGGAGAAGGCAGAAAGAACAAATGACACTATAAAGTGGCAAGATTAATATCACAATCGTTCCAGCTTCACTTCTTTTTGATCACTACTTTAACAAATTTGACTGGTGACCCAAATAAGAGAGTTATTATTAGTCTGATTGTCCGTTCTTCCACTCCCTCTTCTGATGAGAACACACATCCCTTATCTGTAAATTCTACAGATAGATGAAAAATAGACCTACAAACAAAAACACAACTTAAAGGGCATCAGTGCATCAGTATTCCGGCAGACATTTCCACCATATGGCAGTCTGTCATAACGAGACAGATATAGAAAGAAAAAAATCACTTAGTTGTTGAAAAGGAGGAGCCTCCACCGTCTGATCACATGTTTGATATGGAGCAGGTCTTGCGCACTACGTCACCGGTGACTCACTTAAAAGGGAGGGGCGACCTGACCTGTGTCTGACTCATTCAAGTGTGTGTAGTGCATAGAGATGAGAATATCTGTGATGTCAGACAGACACCAAAAGTATCTATTTGTTTCAATGAAAATGTGAATGTGTTCATTTTCCATTGATCCATTTTATCTGTGTTCCTATAAAACCAGCTGCTATGTGTAATGTGTTATATGCTATTCAGGTTGCTACATTAAATCAGAGACCTAACAGCCAGTGTTGCAGATTTATACAGGAGGAGATATGAGGCACGCCGCGGCAAGTGATTATTTAAGAAGAAGTTAAGAGGATCCTTATGCACAAGAGATTTTTTTCTGCCACATACGCATTCAGTGCAATTTCAATGAGTGACTGTGCATATTTAACTTAAGCAGGCAGCACATGAATGTACATTCCAGAGCCACTCTGAGGGATCATTTCTCTGCCCGCTCAGTTCACTTCCCATCTAATCAGTGAGTCAGCCGTACCTGTCGCTTTCTACATGCATACATTTCAGAGTGAGGTCATTTTTCCTCTGAACGAATGTGCTTTCCATTTTAAATTTCAATCCATTTATGGACTAAGCATCTAAACATTTTTCTCCTCTATGATATCAATATACGCATCAAAACTTGAATAAACACTTACATGTATTTGTGTGTACAAACAATTAAAATAGATTCCCTTGGCGATTTTACCATATATGTGTGTTTAAGTTTGGTTTGTGGTGCTTTCTGCAGTATTTCTGGCTTTGTTAAACAGTTCTTTCTTTTTATGAAAGAACTGTCCTTTAGCAAGTTCATTAATGAAATGCAAGAGCTCCAATTCTCTTGAAGACTGCTATTAATAAAGACTCATGAAAGAAAACTGCAACCAACAGTTTTGGAGCTTATTGCGATCTCAATTGCTTTGGGGCACTTACGAAATTTAAAATGAATAGTGATTTCAAAGGCAGCTATTTTTTATACTGGAATTGAACACAATGGAACAGAAATACTGGAATTGAACACAATGGAACAGAAATACTGGAATTATTTGACAACATGGAAACTCCTCCAATGGAATTTGGTTAACTCTTTGCCGTAATCATCTTCTAAAGAAACTGACCTTGACATACTTAACATCACTGGATGTTTTGCCCCCAAGATAAGTTTAGTATGTCTGACTAATCCTCAACAGCAGCATTTTAATTGTGTTGTTTTTTTCTTGTTTTCTTTGAAGGTTTCTTTAATTATTCATCCTGTTCTGTATTATGTGTGTCAGACAATTTGGTGTTCAGTCTTTGAAGATTGTATGAAGGTAGTAAAATTAATTTAGCAGGAGAGTAGGGAAAAATGGGATTTATAACAGAAAATGTATGACGTCAAATAATATGAAACCTTCAATTATCAACTGTCTTGATAAGCAGGTTTTCCTACTCTGCCAGGAATTAATCATTGTAAATTAAATTACTCTTACGTTATTGATGACTTCTGACACAGAAGCTATGAAGTAGCTGCATGATTTTCTATGTGTTCATACTCACCATGGTCTTGTGGCTTATAACTTACTTTAGTCAGTAGGTCGATCCAGCACCTGTGAACACTAAACTGTGCAAAGTTATGTCCTGAGGCAGTGAAGTAGCCCCTGACTGTGATGTTTACTGCTGTGCTACACAGCTAGCGTGACATTCTTCTACCTGCGGCACCAAATATGCATACTATTACTGTGACTAGACGACTCTATCTTTAATTTACCTTAAATGCAAACAGCAGATAAGGCCCAGGCAAAATGCACTTTGGCTCCAATGTTTTGTGCAGACATCAGAGAAAAACAGTAAAACTCATGTCAAAGGTTTGAATGGGATAAGCCCCTCTTCTCACTCCTTATTTATTTATGTAATCTATATATGATAATAGATATATTCATATATAATATAGTATAGCATATTAATTTGACTATGATTAGGCATTTGAGCATATAATGTATTTGACCAGATAATGGATGGATGGATGTAAATTTGGAACTTAATTTGTCTTAACTAAACTAAACTAACTAAAATTGTGTCTTAGCTTCTGGATTCTGGGCCATATTTAGTAACATCTGTTTACACTGATTCATGGAGTATCTCCTGTTTCCTCTCTGAGTTATAATGCAAAACTAACTTCTTTGTCCCTGGGGTGTGCTAAGTTTTTCATGGCTGTTACGTCAATGGCACCACTTTAAACAGAATATGCACCTTCAGTGAGCACAGCATGTTTTATTAAACATGTAATGCAAAGTTGGGGTTAGATCTCTGTTAAAAAATTCAATATAAGGTTATTTCTTTCAGAGATTTGAGTTGAGATTTATGTGGATCACTGGTATCCTTAAGGTTGGAAAACAAACTGAATGATAAATCTCCAAAAGTGCTGAGGGGTCTGTGGAGGCTTTGAACAAATTAAACTGCTCTTTCTTCTTTTATTACATTTCGTTTGCACAACTCCTTTTCACCTCAAAAGACTACAATTCTAAGAATTTCTCATTTGTATACTTTTCATCCCTAAAGTCTTTGCATTTTCAAGAAATTCTTCTTCCTTGTTATCAACTCATTTTTAATCCCTTATGCGTTTCCTTTGGAGGAGCCAGATCACAGGTGGAAGTATTTGCATCTGAGGGGAAAACTTGTGACTTTACCCAAACACTAGAACAATAGCAACTCTGATGATGGAATGCATTAGACATAATTGAACATATTTTTGAAGCAGGATAAGACATTAACCACTGTGACTTTCGATGACTTGGGCTACATTTAATGGGGAAAATTAATGAAAATTAATATCTCAGCAATGGCAAATGAACCCAAAGTTATAAACATAATTTATGCCCACAGCAGACAAATAATTAATCTAAACTCACAGGATTCTTATTTCAGCATGTTAGTGTGCGTTTCACTTAAAACTTAATTGAATCCTCGAATAATCACATCACTGAGTGTATTTAATTATTATTTAATCATGTGAAAAACTGTGAAAGGAATATATTTGTTGAAAGTCTGTTTACATTTCAAAACAGCCACATTGATTCAAGGACTAGATCTATTCTGCAACCTCCTATCTGTAGGGCACAATTTGGATGACTGGTTCATGGTATACTGCAAAGACAGATGAAAAGAGGAGGGTGGATGGACCAAAAATCTATTTAACTAGCAGAGTATAATCCAATTCCATTTTGCCAATGGTGTTAACATCCAGAAATGTTCAGTGATGAGAGAGGTGCATTAAAAAAGGGTTTTATTGCCAAAAACTAGAACATTCAGAAATAGCAAGGCAAAAACGTTAGGCTGAGCCACAAAGCGACTCTAAACAATCTATTCACCAACTCTGGAGTCAAATCTTTTCCGAAATGGTCAATTCAAAACCGCTGACTCATATGAAGCAATTATCTTAATATCACAGTCAGTAAATGTTAGAAACATGTGTCATAGGATGGACAGCTTTTAATTGAATGTAGCAAGTATATTCTTAGCTAAAGGTGATCGATCAGAATTCTAAACCAAACTTTACTTAAATTCTAATTGGAAACAGCCCCTGGAGCAAAGGCTCAGAATCTATTAATGAGCGGTATTCAGCGCCACAGTAAAGAGGAGCCAGAGCCTGAACTGTAAGATGACAGTCTGAAACAGTCATGGTGGATCTTTGTCATTTAGATGTGACCTTTAAGGCCAAAACAAGAGGTCAGCCCCTAATGTTCTTGCAAGCCAGAGGAAAATATTTTTTACAGGACTTAAAACAGCACTTTCTCTCTCTTTGTATACAGAGATACAGCAACGAATCAGAGGAAATTTTATACCTAAAACCTGTGTTTCCCCACTGAAACATTCCTTGCCATTTGTTTAAGTATTAGTGTATCATCCATCCATCCATCCATCCATTTTCTGATCCGCTCATTCCCTAATGGGGTCACGAGGGGACTGGAGCCTATCCCAGTAGTCAATGAGCTAGAGTACACTCTGGACAGTCCAGATTAATGTATCATGCAGAACAAAAATATTGAGTCAACTCTGATTTAATATTTTCCCAGGAATTGGGTTTGTTTAGTCACTGAAATATGAGCAAACTTAAATGGAAAGAGTGTATATGACGCAAAAGAAAATTTGTACGGTTTTGACAAGGTGAAAGAGTAAATATTTCGACAAATGTTGTTCCCAAACTCTCTTAGACAAGTCATCATCAGGTGTAGTTCTTCAATTGCTTTGGAGCCCTTCTCTGGAAGTTGACTGCTTTTTATCTGTTCTCTGTTGACATAGTCCCTCGACTCTATGGTTCCTGGAAGGATTCATTACTCTTCAACAGACCCAATTTTGTATCTTTTGAAAAGGCTGCACATAAATGTGTACCTGAATATTCCTTTTTATGCTAAAGTAGTTCACGTCAGTACTGAGATGCTAAAAGTATATAATCAGATTTGCAAATAGTCAGGCACAAAGACTGGACCAAAAATGTGTGAAAGCAGCCAATTTCCGGAAGAAAAATGTGCACTTACATAAAATATCAACTAATGAAGAAGGGCTCAAGACTTCAACAGCGTAACATATGACAGGAAAATCCTAAATATTAGAGCCATGGGGAAATTATGTATTAATAGGTCCTTGAAAATATGTCTTCATTAAAGTTCTTGAGTGAGTTAAAGACTTCACTTCGCCTACTGAAAAGAGTTTTATGTCAATTATTTTGATTGTCGACAGATATATATCATCTGAGACTGCTTGCCTGACTAAGCTGCCCAATATTTGTCATTTATTTACGTTATTTTTTCTCAGTGTGTGCCTCCCTCGTTGTCCTTCAGCTTTTCAAGGTGTAAGGCCGTTCTAATTCAGTAGATTCAGTATTTTGTTGTGTTTAAAGGTAGTTTTCTCAACCCTTTTTCACAAGGATCTCCAAGGAAATTGCAAGGCTTTATAAAACATCCTCTTTTGATATAGATTTTACACAAAAAATGATAATGAAAAAAATACAATTTATCGAGTTGAACTGCCGGCCTTAGTGTCTGAAAGAGAAACATTCAGTGACACATGTATTGTGAAACATACATTGACACAAAAAACTAAATTCTAAACTGATAGTATTTAACTAAAAATATTGTAAGACAACCTATTAAATAAAATAGATTTAAGAAAACTATTTCCTGTAACATTCTAATACATATTTTCAGAATAAATAAGTATTAAACATGATCCTGGCAGCATGTTAAAAAATGGTGCAGGGCCAAAAGAATCCTGAGTTGGACAAAGAGGTAGAATGAATAGATATCCAAACTGTTTACTCGCCAATTAAGTTTTGAGGTAGTGAGTTGAAGAGAATAAAAAAGAAACAGAATAGACTAAAATTGGACAGAAAAATGGTTCATCCATCTCAGTGTGGGACAAATTCTTAATTGGAATTAGCTCAGATATTATAATATATTTTCAATTATTCAATATTATAGCTTATAAAAAACATAGATACATAATAATGATTAGAATATAATTTAAATGTTTCATAATTAAAAAGAATTGTAAACTGTACAGTGAAACAAATGTATTCATTATTAACTTATTATGTCCCAATTTCTTCAAGGGGAGCTTTCTGCAGCATTGCTACAAAATCCAGCATCTGTGTCAAGAACAACAACCCAGCGAACAACCAATCACAAGGCGTTACGTCATTTTCCAGCCGCTGAAAATCTTGACGACTTAATTATGCGACAGACACGATAGAAACGAGCAAACATTATTGCCGAATAGATTCTGAGCTAAGGCTGGAATTGCATTTATACATGCTGTAGCAAATGTAGCTGTCAACAAATTGCTTAGTATACTGTCTTATTTTTCCTTCATGAATCTCGTGCTTTCTTTTAACAGCCATCCAGCGAAGCGTGCTTACTGAGTGACGTTAACAAATTGCAGTACTGCGTGTTCCATACCGCAAATGGTCACTGGGCTTTCAACGTTTGATTGTTCTGCTTGTTAGTGACGGCGGGATGAGTTACGGATATGGCGGTGGAGGTGGGAGAAGAGGCCGAAGAGGGGGTCGTGGGAACAGGGATGGCAGCAGAGAGAGATGGGACAGAGGAGGCCCGGGAGGCTCCAGAGAACACAGCTCCGACTTCGACGAGGATCGAGGAGGTGGAGGACAGAAGGACCGTCCTCCTCCACACCTCAGGGGTCGTGAGATCGGAATGTGGTACGCACGATATGGAGCTGTGAGGAGGAAACAAGCAGACCGGAGATCGGTGGGTGTTTTGGTTCTGCACAAACGCATACACATGCCCTAGTGTACTTTAGTTTGTTTATCTGCAATAACTGAAGCTGGGAGGTGTTTATCTTTGTTGGAAAGTGGTTCATAGGAGTTTGTTATTATTATTATTTTATTATTCTTTCATAAAACACTGACAATTGCAGAAGCCATCTAGATGCCCGGTGGAGATTTTCTCTGTGATTATGGTTGATCTTTCTTCTTTACTTCTATATGGGTGTAGCGGGCAGTGGTCCAGATGGATGAGGCCAGGGAGCAGCACATTACCAAACTGCTCAACTCTGTCCAGAGTGACCAGCCCAGGCAAAGACGAGATGTCCAAATGAAGACAGCGGCTGGCAGCGGTGCTCATTGGTGAAATTGGCTTATTCTGGCTTACCTTTGTTTTCAACCTCACAAGGAAGAAAAAATTGTAGCATTAGATTACATGAGAAGATCCTGAAAGATCACTTATTTATCATTCTGTTAAATGCTGCCAGTGTGTCTGTAATGAACCTGTTTTTGGCCCTCAGTTACTTTGACGGGGATGCGCCTGAAGAGGAGAAACACAAGATTGAGGTCAAAGAAGAGGAAGAAGAGGAAAGTTCTCCAGGCCAGAGGAAGGCAAATGATCCATCAAAGCGGTAAAAAGACATGACTTAGTGGAAAATTTTATGTGTGAATATATATATCAAAATATATATACATTTCTGAACTCTAAAACATCTACTTTTGTCCAGACGTCCACTGCTTTGATGAGAGTAACGCTGTTGGATGTGTTTGTTTAGTGGCTTCTCTGCAGCAGCAGTTAAAGACGAGCCCCCAGACAACTGGGAGGATGATGAACAGGATGAAAAGGAGAAGGAGAAACTGATGAGGAGAGACAAGGATTTGGAGTACTTGTTTCAGGAAATTGTCAGAGACGGGCCACTGGATGACCATTTGAAAAGAGACCTAGAAAGCAAGAGAGCAAATGGGAGGTACAACGAAATGCTGGTGAGTTTTAGCTTGTACAAATGTTAACATGTATACTTGTGGAAATAGTTTCTTTCATCAATTGAGTCAATTAGAAATTAATTAGTTTTTTTGCTATTAGAAACACCCGTAAAATTAGTATGCATAAATAATTTACTAAGCCTAAATATCACTTGAATACAAAGAGACTGAATTACTGCCAAAGCACCATGTGTGCTGTGTTGTTGTGATGTGTTAAGTGTACCACTTTGGATAAAAACAGAGCTACCCACGATTTCATTTCTTTCATTCATTGTGTTGTTTTTCTTTTTCAATCTTTAGAAATTCAGGGAAAAACTTCCATCCTATGGAAAAAAAGAGGCAAGTACTGCACTTTAACTTGTGTCTTTAACCACCTCTTACCCTCTTCACCATTTAACCTGTTTCGCCTCCGTCACTGTGTTCGCAGGACCTGGTGGAGCTGATCAACTCCAGCCACGTCGTCGTGGTGAGCGGGGAGACCGGCTGTGGAAAGACCACCCAGGTCACCCAGTTCATCCTGGATGATTACATCGACAGGGGCGTGGGCTCCATGTGTCGCATAGTCTGCACGCAGCCTCGCCGCATCAGCGCCATCTCGGTACGTTTTCCACTTCCTCTGTATGAGATGATTAGTTAATGTGTGCAATATGTCCTCATGTCATTTCCTCGACGATGTAAAAAAAAAAATGTAGCTCTTGTGTTAATGTTTGGAAATGTTTTTTGCCTAACACACGTCATGTCGGTAAATGCTGTTTACCTGCTTCTTTTCAGGTGGCAGAGCGTGTTGCGGCAGAGAGAGCAGAAAGTGTCGGAAATGGGAATTCTTGTGGATACCAAATCCGTCTGCAGAGGTAAGGAACTCTTTCATCTGCCAGTGCGTGAAATGGAAGTTCTGGCTGTTGCTCAAATCGGGCTCGCTGCTTATTTAATTGGATCTCAGAAACTTGTTTGGCGGTTGATGCTGCGTCACGGCCGTTTAGGTTTCAGGGGAGGTTGTTAGAGCGGTCGCACAGACTGTTTCATTTTCTTCTGTAATTACAGCTTTCTTACTCTGCTTCTGGTCCATACTCTCTGCTTCAGATTAAAGCTGTTAATTTTGTCACAGCCAAACAGACTTAAAATTTCAAATTTGCCAAATTTCTGTTATATTAACCTTGTAGGAAAGAGTAAAATAAATTATCATAGATTTTTTTTAACCTTAATTAAAGGATGTTTCTTTATGGAATGGAAAGTTTGAAGAAGAAAAATGGAATACATTTCATTAGGAGTTGAACTGAGTTGCATTTCCAAAAGACTGAGCATAGTCGAGAGAGCAATTAAAGAGTGAGCTGTAAAGTCTTTGGTGGCACAGGCTGATTACATTACATTGTTATTACATTTGAACATTTTTAGATTTGTGTCAGTTTGTGCGGTTGCATTTGAGCCCCTGAACAAAAAGGTTCTGCATATTATAGAGCTTTGATTCCAGAGTCTTCCATCATTTTATATGTGAACACCCTCAAGATACTTTTCATTATATAACTCCTCCGTGAACAGATTTTAACAAACAGCTGAACTTGGAAAAAAAATACACCAAATAAGTTATGACCTCACAGTGTGAGGATTAGAAGGGAAAAGAGAACTGAGAACAGGTGCAGGAAGGGATGGAGAAGCATGTTCAAGATGAAGCCAGCAACAGTGTATCTGAGGATAATGGATGGTGCTGTCAGAAATGAATTGTTAGTGGGGAAACAGTAAATAAATGAGGGAAATGAGAGCAAGATGACATGGGAAAACAATACCTCTGGTCAGGGAACTATGACAGAAAACAAGCTGCGTGAGTACATTTCTCTTAATCCATTTCCACATATTTCATCCATCTCTGTGAAGCTGTTTAGTTTTTTGAAGCTGAGATCAAATCACTGAAGGTGCGAGCACGAGTCCCCCGAAAACCAAAACCACTGAAGCAATTATTTTTCTCGGATCAAAGAAGTTTGATTCTAGACGGCAGAAAAAGGCATCAGAAGTTTAGGCCAACAGCTATGATGTTGATGCCCACTGTTACAGTTGCTCAGACCGTGGGATATCCTCATTGGATAAATGCAAAAACTGCTCTGTTAAACGTCTAATGATGCGCCAGCTTTTGCCACATAGCAGCTGGTGTTTAATAAAAAAAAAAATCTGCACAACATTTTTTGCTGCCTTTAGTTTTTTTTTCTTTTTTTTCCCACATCAGTTAATCAGCTTCTGTAGAAACTGAATATAAATTGACCAGATCACGTGTAATGTGGTCAACTAAAGCTGTAACCATGAACAGCCATTCCAGTCAGTGCAAACGGTCCCTAAATGGGAATTTTCTTTATAATAGAGGGGCTGTTGGAATAAACATGATGTGAACAACAGTTCAGTGGACGTAGACTTAATTGAATTTGTAATATTCTAAAGCAGAATATAATGGAGGGTGAACACATGGTTTTCTGAAAGCCTTCCTATAAAATGCAGCCGACTAAGATTTTAGCTCAAGGGCAGCAGAGCTTTAGAGGGAAAACAGAGACTGGGGCTGACTGATTATTTCCTTTAAATTTGCAAACAGACCAGTGAATCCTGAAAAAAACGTGTGTGTGTGTGGTTTGCTAGTTTCTTTATTCACTTAAAGGCTGCGTTTTAATCAGTGCTGCCGGGTCCTCTCTTTTACTTTGCATAGTGTTGAACTTGTTTGTTCATTTTTGAGCACAAAGACCATACCGCTGTGAGGAACTCTCTGCTGTACTGTGGAGAATTTTCTGCCTTCAGTCAGAAATTTTCAGTCTGTGGGTTTCTGACTCAGAGTTGAAAGAAAGAAGACGGCCATGGGAAATTTGTGACCCGTGGCTGGCTTGTACCAGCAGTCAGAATGACTTAGAGAGGATATAAGCTCAGTTTTAAGGCTCTCTCTTCTGCCTGAATGATAAAACTGATGTTACGAGACGGCTGGTAAGTTTTTCTTTGTTGCAAATTGGCATATTCAGCCATCACTCGTTTATATTATGGGCCATGACAAGTTAATGCCCTCTTAAAAAGTCCAAGGTGACTTGTCTTAATGGAGGACCGAAAGATCTTATTTCTTACGAGGCAGAGAGAGCAAAATGACCTCAAAGCAAACTGTTCCTTTGCAGTATTGCAGAGAAAGAAATCATCCTGTGGTACTGCACAGGGAGGATGATTTGTAGAGTTGCTGAGACGAAGCCAACCGCTCCCATTTGCCCCGAGGGACCTCAGCACCTTAATGTGCTCTGCCCATTAGATGACCATTGAAATGAAAGCTTCTATCAGGCCTCTCACGACAGATGCAACATGTATGTATGTCTGCCTTTAAGACCCAGGGCAAAGCTCATGAGCGGTGATCCCTCAGACCTTGTTTTGTGGAAACCATGCCATAAACAGAATCAATAATTTAGATATGTGAAGGATTGTCTTTGTCTCTGAGTTTGTCGGTTCAGTGGCAATGGAAGTTATGTTGCGTTTACAAGGTTTTTATGTTTTGTCCATACTTTGTGGACTGAATGTCTGTAAAAGGCTGTGAATAATAGGTGTAAAAATCGTTCTGTCATTGAATAGATCTTATTTGTATGTACACACGTAGGGATCCTTGAGGGATTCTTTGTTAGTTGTCAGTTGTTTGATTAACTCAAGTTTCTGTCTCATCATATTTTAATAATATGATTTAGGTACAAGTTATAGCTGAACCTTTTTTTTAGAATGTAAATTACAACCCAATCCACATTAAGTAATTCTGGTTGAGAAGTGTAACCAGTCTGAGGTGGTTTTGCAGACTCTGTATATGTATTTTTATCATTATTATTATTGGAACATGAATTGAAGATACCGTTGTTGTGTTATGCTCATCTTTACTTGCAGGTTGAGTATCAATATGTTGCATGTACAAATGAATACTTGCTGAAATAAGAGGTCAATTGGATTTCAGGAAGGTAAATCAGGTATAAATTCAGAGGCATATTTTTAAAGAGCCAAATACATTAAAAAGATGGTGCAGAAATTAGAGTTATTTTGCTAGTCTTTGTTTTCCCTTATTTCAATTTTAAAATAAAGGGTTTTTCCCCCCCCGTCCTCTCACATTTCACAGCCGGTTACCACGGAGACAAGGTTCGATTCTATACTGCACGACGGGCATTATTCTTCAGTGGCTTCGCTCAGATCGGTGAGTCTGATCCCTTCCCGCTTTTCTCGTCCTCATAACATCCTCTCAGCGGCTCCACTCCAGCTGACCTTCCTTTGTGTCACTCTTTCAAGTCCCCACTGGTTTTAAGTCTACTGCTATCCACGGAGGATTCATTAGCATGGGCCCAGATTCTCATAGACGTGCACACATATGGCTTGACTTATTCTTTCATTCTCATCTTTGCATTCTGAGTGTTTTTCGTGGCAAAAAAATAAGACATAAGCTAGGGGACTAGCTTTACCTAGATATCACACTTTATCCTCATTCAGAATTGTCACAATTCCAGGGAGAACTTACACCATCAGAAAAAAAATCAACTTTAAAGTAATTTACTGCATCCAACCTGCAGGTTTATAGTCTGGGATCTGGACCTCTAATTACTCATTTCATTTAATATTTTTCTGAAGTTGTAGTGCATCTAACTGTTTCAAATGCACAGACAGCCCTACAGAAAAACCACTGCCTTAAACCTTCCCTGTCATTGTTTTTTATTGAAATCTTCCTGATTAGATTGTTGTCAAGCATCAGTCACCTGGTTTTAGACGAGATTCACGAGAGAAACCTGCAATCGGACGTTTTGCTCACCATTGTGAAGGATTTACTCAGCCTCCGAGATGATTTCAAAGTCATCCTGATGAGCGCCACGCTCAACGCAGAAAAGTTCTCCAAATACTTTGGTACGAAACTCGCACTTGCGCACCAAGTTTTGTTCAGAAGAAATGTCCCATCATCCGCATGTTTATCTCTTTTAGATAACTGTCCAATGATCCACATCCCGGGTTTGGCGTTCCCAGTGGAGGAGTTTCTTCTTGAAGACATCTTAGAGATGATCAGGTTAAACACTGCTATACCCAAAGCTGCGTGCACAAAGGCATACGCCGGCATTCACAGACACAGCTGGCCCACGGAACTTCCTTTCTTAAACTGCATGGTGTCTCTTTACCAGATACTCTCCTCAGAATCAGGACCGCCGCCCAAATTGGAAGCGAGGCTTTTGGCAGGGGCGCAACTCCAGATCTGAGAAAGAGGAAAAAGAGGCTGAATATAAGGAGAGTTGGCCCGCGTATGCACGCACACTGCTGGGCAGGTGAGTTGATGGGAACAGCAGGGTAGTTAAATTGGCAAAACAGATGCCATGTGGTTAAAAAAAAAAAAAGGTTATTTATAAAGGAAATAGGCAGACTTTGCTTTGTGGCATTCACATCTCAAAACAAATAACCAATTCTTTTTTTTTTGTTATATTTGAACTTTGAGCTGAGCGCTGAGTGCTTAAAGACTGAATATAGAAGGTTCACTTTGCACTCTGCCAGCAATTTACAGAGAAAGATGACTGGTTTGGAGCACTCGATTGCCTGATATATTTGGAATGAATTATTCATACACCTTCATTACATTTTTGTACCTGAATGATGGGAGGCTGTGACGTCTCAAAAAGAGTGAGAAGACATTTTTTTCCCAAAATGCTACAAACATTTTCATATTGTGCAGACTAAGTGTCGAAGACCTTTTTCTATGCTATTATTACTATAGTATTCTTTACAGGAGTGTTCAAACCATATTACTCTGCTATAGCTTGCCTTCAGAAAGCCCGTTGGGCACCGAAGTGCCTGAGCACACGGTAAATCAATCCCCACATTAAGTCCACCTTCACGATATGCAGTTTAAACCACAAAATGTGAGGTGTGGGGCATTTTCTGGGCACCACTTGAATGCTAGTGGAATCGATGTGTGATGGCATAATAAATTATGAATGTTTTCCAGCCAGTCAGGAATTGATTTTTGCTTTTAATATGTTTTCAGTCTGTATACAAAACGTGGGACTGTGTTTTCATCAAAAGTACCAATTATTGGATCCTGAAGAGCTCAAGATAACTGAAATTTAGCTGAAATCTTGGCTCTCCTCAGCTCAGAGTTGAAAAGCAGAGTGGAAACCTCATCCAAAGGCAGCAGATACTCATAAATTTTGGCCATGATGTACCTTCCCTCTGGTTGGTACTGATTTATTCAGGCTTTAAAATCGTATTTCTACGGAGCAGTTTTAATGATTTCTGACAGTCCACAGTGTCGTGGTGTCCGACAGGCTCTTGTCAGAAGCTCTGGTCGCCCCCTGTGCATTTGAGCTGAGCAGAGCTTGTACCCATGCTGAATGAGAGGTAGAGGCAGCTAAAAGCAGGACCCAAATCATTCTTCTGAAGTGAAATCCTTTAAACTTTGCAGAAAAATATCGCCAGAGAGTGAAAGAGGTACTTCCAATACTAGTTCTGCCCCCATTTATCGAACAGCTGTTTAAGGTGGCTCTTTATGAAGATAAGCGAATAATAATGCTTCATGTTTAATCTACTCTTTTCTGGGTAAAAAATGATGCACTCCAAAGCTGTGAATGTCCAGAAGTCTTTATAGTCATCATCTCAAAGAAATTGTCTAGAATTTCAGTACCTTTGATCTGCAATGTCTGCCGATTGTTGAATTATAACTGAATGAACTGTTAAACAATTCATGGAGAAAAACACAGCGAAATCCCCAATCAACGGCATTCCATTTATCACAGCCCTGCCAATAAGTGAGAAAAGAGTTGGCGCGCTGCATTGCCTCGTTGAATTTTGAGAGGGGGTGGGCATTTATCTCTGTCATTGTCTTACAGATACTCTCAGAGCACCATCGAGACCCTGGAGATGTTAGACACTGATGACAAGATTGATCTGGACCTGATCGTGGCTCTGATCCGTCATATTGTGCTCAATGAGGAGGTGAGCTTAATGCTGTGTGTCAGGCTTCAGCACAGTTTGAATTTGATTTTTTTCCCCCTTTTTTTCCCCCTTGAAAGTAGAATTGTTCTTTTGAAGACTTCAGTTTTTTGCTCAGAAAAAAGGTTTTCTTAACAAATCCGTTATTTTTTTGTTCCTTGAGAGAAGTGGTCCATGTAGGAAGATGTGCTCGCTGTTAAATCAGAGCTGATAAGATGACATGAACAGTTAAGCCGAAAGACGGAGAGAAAAATATCAGAGCAGATGGAAGGAACAGGTCGAGCTTCCAAACACGGAGACATTAGATCAGAGCAAATGACACTGATCCTGCCAGCAGATCTGTGCTAATGAGTGACGGAGCAGATGTTCTCCCTCTGCTCGCCCGTGTCCTCTTTTCTCCTTCCCGCTCTTGTCCTGCCTCCTTATTTTATGTCATTTTGGTGCTCAGCTCACAGAATGTCATAAACGGCACCTATCAATGCGGCCTACCGTCGATACTGAGAGGCAAATAATGATGCTTAGGACAACCTGCATGGAAGGGCCAGAACTGAGGGGAAAGAGGAGATGCTGAATGAACTCGTTTGCTTTCACTGCGTTTTTCTTTTTTCTTTTTTTCCCCAAGTGAAGTGAAATCAATTAAATTATTTGTTAGTTTCTGTCTGCGTTTAAGTAAGACGTACACAAGAGGGGTCAAGAGGAAGAGAGCCTTTGAGCAAGAAGTGACTAACTTAGACAGACAGTATAATTATCCTTTCATATACCAAGTCATATCTCTATCAGTCACGGCCCCACTCAACCAGTCGCCCGGCTGATTTGCCATGGCATTGTCAAAAGGCCCAGAGGGACCTGGCTGATACACCGTGACGGCGTTCTAAACTAAGAATACGGCCAGCCCGCCAGGTTTCAACAGCTATGATTGGTTAATTATACTGAAGGGTTCTATGATTAAACACCTAGGGGGACTGAGATACAGGCAACACTGAGTTCCTGATAGGTGTAACTCTGTACGTGGGTGGATTGGCATGTGTGTTACCAAATGGTAGCACTACATAGCTGACCATACGCTTTCTTTATTTTTTGTTTTGTGTGAATTAATCGGTTTAGTGGCTGGATGCATGTAAGGGTTCATTTCTGTCTGGCTGCAATGACGTACGATGGCACACTAGTCACATCTCTCCCCCCCTCCTTGTTTCCTGCTCAGACATTAACGCACAGTCCCATGTGAGCGCCAGTGTTTGAGCACTGCTGATAATCATTAAGTTTAATTAAAAGCCAGTGTTGCTCTGGGCTCTAAAGCTACTTTTTATGTCTGAATTTCTTCTCCTTTTTGTTCCTCCCTGTGTGTCCCACCTTTAAGCCTCCTGTAATGGTTCTGTCTGTATTTATGTAGAGGACTCTATATTGTCAGTCTGCTATTCTGTCTCAGAAGTACCATTTTGATGTCATGCCCCATGGAAATTCTGGGAAATGCAAGAGGTTCTTGAATATACCTTTAGCATTGAGGCAAGGATAAAAATACTTATTAATATCAGATTCATCAAGAGTTTCTTTGAACTGCTGACCATGGAGGAGAGGGCCAGGTGGAAGAAATATTTTAATTAAAATAAAAATGTTCATTGATGCATTCAATTTTTCCACCAATGTAACATTCTTTTTCAGTATCTGGTATTTTAGTCTAAAATTCCTTTCCCTCTTGGAGTGTTATCTGTATTCACTGCAAATATGTCAGCGTGCACGCTGGAGAATACATTCCAGCTTCAATGAGCTGCAGCCCTTCAGAGGTGGTTTGTGTGGCTCCACATTTTAAATGGAAAAATCTCTTCATCCATTTAATCAATCTCTGCTTTCTGTGGTGCAGTGTTCGTTCTTCCAGAATCGCTGTCTGTACTTGTTTATTGTCTTCCTGCAACAATTAATCTCTCATCTTTAGAGGAAGACTTGTGTTTATAAAGACATAAGTTGATATCCCCTCCAGCATATTTTCAGAGGCTTGCATCGGTCTGAGCCTTTTAGCTGCAAATGGAAGCACTTTTACCGTGCAGCGTTATAATCGCCCCGTGGTTTTGTAATTGCTGTCGTAATTGCTACTGTTTTCATGGTGGCTGGTCATGGCATTTTAGTTCAGTATGGATCTAGTTGCATGCATTTGCATACTTTTTTTTTCATTTTAATGTAAGTGAAAATGGGGGTCAGGTTGAAAAATCCCTGAACTTTCTTTTAAAGCCTTTTTCGTCTTTGCTTTTTTCCACTGGACGTGATATGTTGGATATGCTAATGCATTAACTCTGCAGCCTGTGACGCACAGCTGTGCAGAGATTCTCTCACATTGTATACTGATGTCTCTGCATCTGTATTTTCTAAAGTGGCAAATTATCTTAGCTTTTATTTTTATTTTTTCTGGCTTTTCCGTGATGAGAGAGACAAGCGCCTGTGTGAGGTAGAAGCAGTCAGACAGTGGAAAGATGATGCTTTCATAATGATGTAGACAGGGACTTCCAGGGTCTTTTGTGTGGCTGAAGATGGATGCTGAGAGCTGAAGGCAAGTCATTTCAGTCTGACTATGCTGAGCTCCTCAACTCAACCCTTTGGCATTGTAATACCTGTTTGTCTCAGTCAGCACTTTCTTTGAAACATTTTTTTTTTTCCTGTTCACAATGCTTGTGTCATTTCTTTGACAGGAAGGAGCAATCCTGGTATTTTTGCCCGGTTGGGACAACATCAGCACTCTTAATGATCTGCTCATGGCTCAGCAGATGTTCCGATCAGGTGGGGATATTTGACATGGGAGCGAGATAGATTTATTTCTTCATTCAAATCATGCAAATCAGATGTTTTTGTATTCCAATACTAATTACCGGTAGTAATGACGATGATTATAATGAATAATGTTGGATTAGGATAAAACACTCCACTCTAGTTTTATTTGTAGAGGAGTACTTTAAAATTCCTTTTAAAGTGCACTTGAGCGACTCTATGCTCTTATGTCTTCTGTAATTTGGTCACTTCTGTTGTTTGAGTTTTTCTGTTATGTCCTGTTGTGTTTCAGACCGGTTTGTTATCATCCCTTTGCACTCCCTTATGCCCACCGTTAATCAGACGCAGGTTGGCTTTCTTCTTTATTTCTCTGTGCCTTTGGCGGTCTCTTTGTCTACTGATTTTTTGGGGATTTTTCTCTTTTTTCAATATCAGAAATGTTTACTTTCATGTTTCTCTCCAACTCCTCTCAGGTGTTCAAAAGACCTCCACCCGGAGTAAGAAAGATTGTGATTGCTACCAATATAGCTGAGACCAGGTGTGTATGTGTGCGTTTGTGTGTTCAACATTTGAATTTTTACTCTCCATTTATTTTTGGTAGTTTTTATTTTTGATGATGGTTTACCTCAAGGTCTCTTGGATGTGTGCTAATGTAGTGGGTCCCAGTCATTACTGGCTCACAAAAAACAGATTTAGAGCTATTTTGGCACATATGTCTTGGAGTGATTACGAATGCTGTCACAGTAGCTTGGATGGAAACTCTCTGACAGGCAATCTGTTATTCCATTCAAAGAGCTGCACACTGACACCGACCACAGCTACTTTGATATGATTGTGTGTTTAAAATTGTTTACCAGGAATTCTTAACACCTGCTTTCAAGTGCCTTTTTCTTGGTATTTGATCTAATTTCTACCCCCTTTTTCTTCCTCTCCTTAATGTCCCACAGCATCACCATAGATGATGTTGTTTTTGTGATAGACGGGGGAAAGATTAAGGAGACCAACTTTGACACCAACAACAACATCAGCACCATGACAGCCGAGTGGGTTAGCCTGGCTAATGCCAAACAGCGGAAAGGACGCGCTGGCAGGTTCGTGCACCCGCGCACACACACACACACACACAACCCTAGTGTTGTTTTTAATGAGGGCTTATGTTACACTAGTAAATTCCCATTTAACACTAAGCTGGCAGAATTATCTTTCCACCATTTTGACATCTGAGATGTCATCGGTCGTCCCCAACCACCCCCCTCGTCCCTCCTTAACATCTGTTCACACAGTCAGAGTGCAGGCACTCCCACTTTGTTTCCTGTGCGCGCCTCAAGACGTCTGCTCTGTTGGACAGTTCTGACATCAAAGTGCAGCAAGGCCCAATTAACAGGAGCTGCTGACTGTGTGCAATTTCGTCCCACTGGTTTTTCAAATTAAGCCCTTGTCACAGGACTGATATAACGTGGAACTTTTTTTTTTCCCCTCCGTCGCTCTCGCTCTCTTCTTCTCTTCTTATATCCAGAGTACGTCCAGGAAAGTGCTATCATCTGTACAACGGGCTCCGGGCCAGCCTGCTGAATGCCTATCAATTACCTGAAATTATGAGGACACCACTGGAGGAGCTGTGCTTGCAGATAAAGGTTGCTTGATTTTGGGGGGGGAGTGGGAGAGACAAATGGGTGGATAATGAAAGATTGAAGTTGGCTCGGCAGTGGAGAGGAGGAGGGGGATTGCTGTGGCTGGGTTTGTGAATGTCAAGAGAGGGTAAAGAGCAAGGACATGGGTAGTGCTTTTTGTCCTTTGCTGAGTAACAGCCTCTCGTGCCTAATGAGAACAAGGGACAAGCATCCCAGGCTAACTAATGCCACTTGTTCCTTTGGTCTTCTTCTCTTTTTTGACAACAATATAATAACTTCTGCTCTTGGCCTCATTGTCATACATGAGCAGTTGTTTTTTCTTCTTTGGCCGCATGCAGAAACCCCCTCCTCCTCTTTTTGCTGCCTCTTTTTGAATCCTCACACTCCACTCAGAAATATTTCAGCCACTGCTAATGGAACATAAAGCCAAAGTTCACTCAGTACTAGTGTTGGCAGTGATTGTTCTCTCCAGTTGCTTTATTAGATGTGTGTTTCAGTGTGCCTCTTTCCCCGCTTAGTTGAATGTGTTGGGGTGTGTGTGTGATGGGGCTTTTTTGAAGCCAGTGGGTGAGAGGCGGACTAATGCATCATACCAATCTCAAAGTGAGAGAAACACCAACAACATGCTTATGCGATGACTCTTTAATGCATAGACACTCCGATAACAGCCAGTCTGTTAGTGACACAGTAGAGGTTTGGTTGCTTCCTTATTCTGCAGGTTAATGCAACTCCACACATTTGAACAAAACCAGCCAATAATGCATCCTTATAAGAAGACACACACAAAGCTAATTCTAGTTGAAATCTCTACATTTATGTAGAAGCAAATGTTTAGTGAAATGTCTTGTGTGCCATCTAGATACTTAAACTCGGATCCATAAGTCACTTCCTGAGGAAAGCCCTGGACCCTCCCACTGAGAACGCTGTCAACCTTGCCATCAAAAACCTCACAGATCTGGTAGGAAGAGGACAAATTACATTTAAAACAACTAAAATTAAGTTTTGAGTGTAAAGCTGTAATCGAGCAATGTAATACTTATGCTCTCAGCATAGCTTAGTGCTTGTCAGAAAACAGCATAAATTGTCACTTGTACATTCTGAAAACCCACAGTAAAGAAAATGAAAAGATGTTTTTATCCTACTATTGTGACCCTGTCGTGTCAGAATGCCCTGGACCACACAGAGAACCTGACGGCACTGGGTGTCCACCTCGCCCGTCTGCCTGTGGAGCCTCACATTGGCAAACTCATCCTGTTTGGAGCGTTGTTGGGATGCCTCAACCCCATACTCATCATTGCGGCTTCACTCAGCTTCAAAGACCCTTTCTTCATACCCCTGGTAGAGCACTGAGATCACAGACATTAAAGCGCACCACGGCAGGGGCTCTCACACCTACAATTCATTACATTGCAGCCCTCTACCTTCTGAGATTTCATGTCTTGTTCTCATCAAATTTTTTTTCAATGGGTCTGCCTTTCTCAGGGGAAAGAAAAGATGGCTGATATGAGGAGAAGGACTCTTTCCAGGAACTCCAAGAGCGACCACCTGACTATTGTCAATGCTTTCCAGGTAAAAGAGCTCACAACTGTGATGTTGGCTTTTCTTTGTTCTCAGCTTTGAATTGATTCCATCCTGATTTACTATGCATTGACTGTCCAGGGCTGGGAGGAAGCTAAACAGCGTGGTGCCAGGTATGAGAGAGAGTACTGCTGGGACAACTTCCTGTCTGCCAACACACTCCAGGTGAGTCAGATTGCAAAGAGTTTGCTTTGTGAGGGGAAAGATCGCTCAATTTTACCTTTTAGGCAGACCTTTGTCTGGAAAGCGAAGGACATTTAGTTGTTGTTTTTTTTTTGTAATTGGCCTTTTCTTGTCTTTCAGATGCTGCACAACATGAAGGGTCAGTTTTCTGAACATCTCATGCATGCAGGTTTTGTCAGCAGCAAGGACCCAAAAGATCGAAAATCCAATATCAACTCGGGTAATTACGACGAGGCTTTCCATTCATCCTTCATTTTGTGAGAAATCTGTGAAGCTGTACTCATTAGGTCTTTTTCTAACTTTTACTTCTCTCCACAGACAATGAGAAGCTAATCAAGGCAGTGATTGTGGCAGGGCTGTACCCTAAGGTGGCTATGATCAGACCCTCCCACAGCAAAAAGAGGCCCGGGTGAGTCTCCTCGTCCAGACAGGCTGCGCCGCACATGATAGAGAAGTGTACAATCATTCTTATTAATAAGCTAGACAATCACTCACTGCAATCAGACTTCCCATGTCAAAGTGCAGCCAGCGTCTCAACTCACCTGCAGCCGAGCACAGAGCGTGCTCAGAAAACTGTGAAAAACAGGCGCTTTCGGAGCTCAAGATCAATGCACTCATCGGGAAATTGTCCTCAGGCAGCTGTCAGCGGCAGCAGCTGTGACCTGTGTGCAAAATAAAGACACGTACAGCAGGGAAACGAACATTTCTCTCTTAAAGTAGGACTCTTGCTGCTTTCTAGCTGTCTCGGACTCTTGTAGCCCTGGTGCAGGTTCGTAACATGGTGCTACCATCTTACGAGGCTAAATTTCAATTTCTGACATTCAAAGTGTCATAACCTATTATCAAGTGACCAGCATTTAATGGATTATATCTGCAGCCACTCTTAGTAATTTTAACTAAATGTCTGGCATCCTCTCACAATTGGGGTGCACAAAATTTATGTTTTGCAAATCATAAACTCTCACAGAGGTTTAAAACAACTCTCACAGTAAAACGTGTAGTCAGAAAAAAGCACAACAGTATGCTTTTAACATAGCAAAAAGTAAAAAAAAAAAAAAAGAAAATAGGACCTTATTGGTGGAACTTGACCCCCCCTGTTTGATGTTGGAGGCAACAGTTGACATGTCACAGCTATGAATTTCCGGTGTGAGAAAAGGTGTGGACAGAAAGGCGGTATATTCTCAACACTCACAGAACAGACTATTTCACTAGAAGACTTACCTTAACAAGGAAGGGAGGGCTCCATCAATAGTCAAATGTTAAATGAATAAATCCCAACACTGACACACACTCTTCTTCCTCAGGGTGAAGGTGTACACCCAGGCTGATGGAAAGGTGTGCATCCACCCAAAATCAGTCAATGCCGAAGAGAAGGAATTCAACTACACATGGCTGATTTACCACCTGAAGATGAAGACGAGCAGCGTGAGTGAGCGATGGGAGTTTTCTTCCATGTTTCGACGCTGATGACAGAAAGCTTCAATATTAGTGTGCGTGTGTGTGTGCGCGCACACAGTTTACGTCTTTGTGAAGTTGCATGGGCGCCCTCTGACAATAACCGAGAGTGCACAGAGGCACAGGTGGCTAAAGGTTGGCTGTGGTGTCACACCTGCTTTGCGCGTGATGAATATTTGATTAAAACGCTGCCTCTCAAAGGCTATACTGCTTCAAAGCTCCAGACATGATGTTGGAGGTGTTGGTAGGGCAGCCCACTGGTCCACACACTCTCCTGACTCTTTCGATTTTAGTTTTTTCCCTCCCCTCTTAAGCCTCGTATTTTTCCCTCCTTTCACTCTTTGTTTCTGTTCTTTCTTTTTTGTCTGGGAGTAATTCCATCCTGCAGAAAAACACCTTTTATATTACTTCGGATCGCTGCCTCCGTCTTTGTGTCATTCTGCCACATCTGTCTTAACGAAGAAAAATATTTTCCCTATTTTTCACCATTATCACTGTCACATTTAAATTGCACCTTTTTTCTTTTGTATCTGCTGTCAGTGAAAGTGTTGTTTGAGAGTGGAAGACTGTCAAGGCTGTTTGTTCATTTAAAGAGAAAAATTAAATACTAAGGCTGTGGAGGAGAGGAAAAAAAGGAATGAAAGTTGCCAATGACGCATTCCCCCTTGGTGGTCTGTTGCATTACCTATGTGTGATGAGCGCAGTGGTCCTGCTCTCACTCTTTAAATTCCCTCCCTTCATGCCACTCCTTTATTTCACAGTCATTTTCAACACTTCCTTGAAGGCTGAAATTAGCTTGTCTTTTACCTTTGTGTTGCCGGGTGCTTGCTCAGAGGGAAAATTGAGTTTCTTTGAGTGCAAAGTGTCCTGAGATGACGTGTTGCTGAGAAGCTGTGAAGTGGATCTATATAATAATAACAAACTGTTTTATTGACTGAAAATACAGTTACGCCGCTATCTCTATGGATCATCGATTTTAGCAAAATCATAGGCACGGCCCTTATGATCAGTCCCGACCTCTTGATTGCGTGATGTGATTAGTGAGACTGTCCAACTAACTTTATCTTTAAGAGCACCACTTGATTTATAACGGTAAAGCCAACAAGATCCAGCATAGCTATTACTTTTAATCAGTCGTCTTATTCTCACAATTGTCGGAAGGTAAAGTGGTAATTGGACGCAAAACCTGGTAAATTGCACAGCCTTAAGTGTCTCTTCTTGTATTCGGAATTCTCCGTTATTGAATTTTGGGCGGGATTAGGCCAACTGCTCTACATAAGCAGCTGTCAGTTCAGGCGCTGCAAATGGATGGAGAGGAGTGTGACACATTAGCGGGATTCATAGACGGGGCAAGATGACATTTCTGCTAACACTGCAGGCACTGAAACACATTTCAAACGGCCACAGGCTCTCTTCACTAATGGGACACTTTCGGGCCACACCACAGAATAGCTGTTGGACACAATGTGCCATAATGAAGCCGCTCCCTGTCACTGAACGTGTTAATCGCTTGTAATACTCCTGTTACTGTGTGTGCTAGCGACCTCTCCGTCCACCCCTCAGATCTTCCTGTACGACTGCACTGAAGTGTCCCCGTTCTCGCTGCTCTTCTTCGGAGGAGACATCACCATCCAGAAAGACGAGGGTCAGGAGACCATCGCAGTGGACAAGTGGATCGTCTTCAGATCGCCAGCACGCATCGCCCACCTAGTCAAGGTGAAGCAACAGACGCCCAACACGCTGAAATCTGTTCAGCATCAAATCATCTGCATCACACCCTTTTTTTTTTATTTGTGTTCTGCAGAGTTTAAAGAGGGAGCTGGACTCTCTGTTAGAAGAGAAAATCAGCAATCCAGCTCCTGTGGACTGGGAAAACCGTCAGTCTAAAGACTGCGCTGTGATCACAGCCATCATAGACCTCATCACTACCCAGGAGAAGCCTGCGGGCGGCGGTCAGGGCTATGGCAGGACGTGGGATTCTGCCCCGAGAGGACCGCACATTCACTTCAACGACGATGAGGATGAGGATGATTAGAAGTGGCCGGGCGTTTGGCCGGGGCTGAAGAGAAGCTTTGGTGAGGCTGGTTCCATCCCTGGACATGAGGTTTAGCTGGAATATTTATGATGACCAGCTGGCCTCCCTGCTGCTTCAGCTTGGTTCAAAGTTTAGTGCTGTCTGGGTGCTGCTGACGGCCGAACACAGGGGGCCAGTGCTCTGAAAAATGAAAACGTTCTGCACTTAAACCAGTCCCTCTTTTTTTCCCTGCAAGGACCAATCCCATCTTTAAATACAAAACTCTTATTTTAAGTAAGTTTCCCTTTTTTTGTCCTTAGATAACCACTTAATGCTTGCTTGTGCAATAAAGAGTTCAAGTACAATTCTTTATTTTGCAGATTAATTTACTTGATTAGTTTTTGCAGCCATATTTTACCCTGAAATATAGACACCTTTACGACTGTAGAAATAATCTGTTCGGTGACTGAGGAACCACATTTGTTTTTATATCTAAGATACTACTCTGTCGCATTCAGGAGATGGCTCTGATTAATTCATGCTTAAATTATAAATTTACCATCCCATATCACTACAGGAAAAATCTCCTAGAAAGCATAAACATTCAGAGCACAAGACAGACACTGGGTGATTTAGCTTTTATTAACAGCTGATTAAAATATATTCCTTTTTTCAGTATAAATCTGTATTTATCAAAACATACAGGTTGCATTTTAGGCCATTTTACATATTTACACAAATACACAGGCGATTTACAAGGTTCACATGAAAAGGAAAAGATTGAAACAAAATCAATTCAAGCGTCAGTGTGTGACATCAGTTAGCTCAGTTTCCCTGAGTACGAAAGCAAAACTGAGCCTGGAGGCTCGTGTCCACCCAGAGGGCTGCTCTGCCTTTCCCCTGCCAAGCCTCCACTTGTGTTGCTCGACAGTTTTGGTTATTTTCTGGGCAGGTTCCAGAGCAGTGGGCTTGACTGATGGCGTTATCAGCGTCCTAAACACAAGTCATTAATTTCATTTAGCAGGGCCATACTGGAAAGATGACTCACAGTGGACAATGGCATTAAAAGCCGGGCAGCTCGGCTCTTCCCATCTCCCCATCAGCACACACATTCATTTCTACAACCTCACATATATAAATCCTTAGAGGAGGGGTTTATATACAGCCCCCTTTGGCCGATGTCAAGTGCGTTATATTTTTGGCTGTCCGAATCACTGAGTGGATGAGGAGATTAATGGTACTTGTGACACAAATGTAAAGCATGATTCATGATGGTTGCATTAGGCGGTGACAAACGGCAAGGTAGAGGACAGGTACTTGGCCCTCCTCCTTAACCCGTGGATGACATAAGAGATCACTTCTTCTTGATGGCTGCAATTTGTGACATTACCCGATCAATTAGACAAGTGTGTATGTATATATATATATATATATATATACTTGTCGTGCACACTAACAGGAGGCTGTACACTCTAAAGATGCTGCTAATCTCACTGTGTGCATTATTATCGGAATTATCAGTATGTTTATAAGTCATGTTGATTTTGGGGAAGCTCTTCATCACATGGCTTAAGCCTCATTAACAGAGCGCTTAGCAGGCTGCTGTCGATTCCTCCCTAATTGGTCTAGTTTGTCTCCTGTGGCGGAGCTATTCTCATTACACTGCACGGCCCTTATGAAAGAATCCATTTGAAAATAACATGTTGAAATTTCACACCAGTAGTTATGTGGCAGGGTCTTGAAAGCGGGCGGGTTTGGCTGTGGGTGTTAAGTTTTTGAAACAGCCGAGGAATTAATCAGTGTGACAAATCCCACTGGCAAACCACCCCACCCACACGGGGACCGATCACCAATTTAGGAAATCTGTTCCTTCCTCGTGTTTGCTCTAAACAGTCGGAAACGCAGCAGGGGGACCTGGTGTTCGGTGGATGCTGAGCTGGATAACGGCCTCGTCTTCGTCTCACTGAATGCATCAAGCAGCCGCGTGGCTCCAGCGGGGAAGTTTCTGATGTCACCAAACTCATTCCGGTGTTTTAGTGGTTCAGTGCGTAAAAAGGCGGATGAGCGGTGTGTCAAGCGGCCCCTGTCAGCATGGAGGATCCCTCTGCGGGTTTAAGTCACCCTGTCACACGTTGGTCTCCAGTCCCTGCAGGCGATTCATCCTCTGCATGTTGCGTTCAATGGTGGCCCTGCACGTGATTCGCTCGGTGCACTCGGCGGGGAACCATCCGCTCTCGCCGTCACGGAGTCGCTCGCCTTCATACCAACCTGAGAGGAGAAGAACACAACATCAACTGAGGGCTACTTCATGCCTTTAGGTTTCGCTGCCATGTCCAACAGAATTACAATACAATGGTCAAAAAGGGACTGAGAGGAAGGAGAAAGATGATAGGAATATTAAAGATTGAGGGCAGCCACGCCGTGATAAAAATGAAAATGGAGAAAGTGGGAGCCAACTTACCGTCTTCTACAAACTGTGAGACCAGCACCACATCGGCCACCTGCAGAGAAAGCTCATCAGGCTGCTTCGCCGTGTAAGTTCTGATCACCTCCAGCTGGACAATGTCTGTTAGGGAAGAGACACACTCGTAAGTTAGGTCAGATGAATGGCTTCATGAAAAAGTAAAAGTTTTACTGCATAACCACAAGGTGGAGCAATAGGCTCGAACAGAGAACAGGGAGACTGGGTCTTGGTTGCAGCTTACCTGCTCTGTCGGGACTCTTCTTGTTGTTTACATTCTGACCCAGAGCACTGATCCATCGAGCACACTCATTCCTGGAATCACACGAAATTACACAAAAAATTTAACAAACTTTTCGTGCACTTAAAGCCCAAATCCCAACCTGGCTGCGGGTGGCGCCCGCCTCTTAATTCGCACTTAATCCATTTAACCACTTTCTGGTAAAACATGCTGCCTGACAGCACAAGACCTCGTAGACTGAAAATAAATCCAGTTGTGGCTTAACAAGTTTTGAGCTCACCCCCCCCCCCCCCCCCTCCACAGTCCGTGAGAGAACAGAGGTGTGTTTTCAGTCTGAGAGAACTGAGGAAAACATGCACAAAGGCTGATTCAGTAAAAAGAGGACAGACCTGCTTTTTGCTTTCCCTCTTTCACCTGTGCAGGTTTCATGGGAAACAAAGTGGGTGGAGCCGCACAGATCAGATTATGTGAAACCACATCTCATCTCACCTGTTCTAGAGGATTTGGGAAGACCAACAAAGGTGAAGGGGGGGGGGGATAGGGGTGTTCGGGAAATGACCCAAAGGAGATTTGTGGAGGCCTTTTGTGACTCGGCACTAGCATGCTCAGCACAATCGATGAATGCGAGTGGTGTCCTCACATGGGCCTCAAATGGACCTCCACAGACAAGAGCAACGGCTCAGACCTCATTAATGCATTCCCAATGTTCTTCTCCTTTTCAGGCCACAATGGCAGTGAAATATTGCACCATGTCATCCCGCAATGACTACTGTAATGAAAGAAAATCACTGCAGGCTTGGCCGAACACTGCTATGAATAAACTCATTGACTTAAGAGGCCGTCGATGCGCCCAGATTCCACCATACACAATATCATTAGAACCAGACAAGTGCAATCTTTAGATTGATTCATTCTGCGAGTGAAGTCGGTCTTTAAATATTCCGTTAGGGACAATGTCGCTCTAATTCCAGAGACCTACGTTTGAATTTGCTCCGTGTAACGCAGTTCTTATTCCTTTGTCTGGTTTCATTGCTGCCCGTTGTCAAAAAACTATTTTTGCCAAAGTATTGTTAACTTATTTGCTTTATTTTATGGCAATTTCACATGCCAATTGTTAATTTTTTACATTAGTACATATAATTTTGTGCTCAACTGTGCCTGTGGTATTTAACTGAATTCATATGAAACAATGTTAGGGGTTACTCCTGCACTTTAAATGTTTGAATTCCTGACATTCACCGGAGCTGCTCTGTGGGAAAAGCAGCTGCTTGATGTTGCTCCTGACAGCTGGAGGCACATGCCAATAGGCAGAAACATTCACGCAAATGACACATACGGTCATGACAGGCGCTTTCCCATGTCAAAACAGCTGAGATATTTGGATCGGAGATCCAACAGACTGAGCACAGGAAGCGGCGGAGAACACACATGAGAGACGTAGGCTGGCATGTGAAGGCAGCATGTGCTTGGATAGCAGGTGCTTGCCTTCTTCCTTTCTGAACGACAACAGGCCTGTGCAGGATCAGTCTGTCCGTTGTAGTAAAGCTTCCGCTGACTGAAACCATTCATCCATAGAAAACAAGACAATGCCAGCAGCCATAAATCCATTGCCGAGTGTTTGTGTTTCACCTCTCAGAGGAAGAAAGAGTGTGAGGTCTCTTTCACACGAGCTGATAAAGAGTGACGACAGTCTCTCTCCAGTGTTCCTTCCTTCCTATGACAACCTAAAAACGCCTCCAAGTGGCTGGCTTTGATTTAATTTCTTTTTCACCTCTTGGTCTCTTCTCATACAATTTTGTTTACTTTAAGTCAAATTTGTCTCATTTCAGCCTTCCACAGCACGCCATTTGATTGAAAACAAAAGCTGTCAGGGAAATTCCCAGGCTCAGGGAACGTTCCCCATCTGCAACTTTCACGTTATCACATAAATGAAAGCAGACAAGAGTGAGAAAAATGTTTTTTTATAAAGCAATGCAGTGTGCAAAACCAGGACCGACTCTTTCCTTTGGATTTGGGTTTTTATGTAACGCGTCCTGCTCTGTGTTGAAGCCGCATATCTGACTAACAGTTCTGTTTTGCTGCAGACTTCTGTGGCTGCTCTGTTCCACTAACAGAGACATGCTGTTCACTATGTCTGGGCTGGATAAAGCAGCAAGGTCATAGAGAAGACATGCAAACACTGAACAAAAAGATTCACAGCAAAAGAACGGGGGGAGGCTGGAAATATCGTAATTTAAAAGACGGGCAGAAGCAGCCATGCAGAGATTCCTGTGCCATCTCCAAACCAGCCATCTATGAGACATTTTGATGTATTATACCACCGTTAAGGTCAAAGCTCACCCATTTATGTGACTGCTTTTACGATTTTTAGGTCAACACGTGGAAGTGAAAGCAAAATCTCCTAAGAGCACAAAAAGGTAGATTCCCACAGTATCATTTCCAGAAAACAGACCCACCTTTAACCAGAATGCGTGGAATTTCACATTTGAATTTGACATGAGCTGCACTTAAAAGTCAGGTTTGAGGTGAACAATGCAGGAAGGTGTACACGCTCATGTCTTCAGTGAACTTTTCTTATTGTCTCTGCTCTTTCACTTATTAGCTGGAAAATCCTATAAATAATTGCTTTTTTCTGCCCTGTGCAAGAAAACCTCAAGTCAGTTGTCTCCCTTATCCTTTCTAAGGCAACTACACAATGTGACAAGCACGCAAACCGAGTAATCTAAGTTTATGAATATTTGATTAGGATTTCTCTTCGCATTTAATCTCTTAAAGATGCCGTGATACACAAGAGACCTCTTTTATCTTCTTCTCTCTAAAAAGAGGATACTGGGAGGGTCCCTTTCCTAACAAATATGCCGCTTTGCTTCAGTTGAGCTGTTCCAGATGAAGTTCAAAATATGAGGCAAGGAATTACACACAACACCACCAAAAGAAAAGACCAATTTCCACAATAACTACAAAAGGGATTTATATGAAACTACAAAAAGTGGAGAATTATCTAAAATTCTCAACTTACATGAATAACTGACTGGCTTAGCTGTCTATTTATCAAGACATACATTTTTAAGGTTATTTCTGTGATGAGTTGGCAACATTTGAAGGTTTAGGCTTAATGAAAAACACAAGATGCTTGATTTCCATTGAAAACCATTCCGAACAGACACCATGATAATGTCACTTTTCCACTGGAGTGTGTGTGAGAAGCCAATTTAGTCCACAATGCAGCAACATTTTAAGTCATGTAATATTGAGTTAGATCTTTAAATTGGGACGAATGGATGGAGGAAAAGGAAATTATTCTTTTGGTCATCAAAAACAAAGACGCTGCTGTCTTTCTAAAAGATGAGACATGGTGACGAGAGAGAATCGGGGAGCATGAAGTGGAAGCAGGGAGGTTATAGTCGTGGGAAACAGTCTGCCAGGCAAAAGGCTGTTGCCAGGCAACATCTTAAACAAAGCCCAGAAAGCACTGTAGTACTGGACGGTTGCCAGGTTTCCCCCGCACACCGTAGCTCATTCAGGACTCCAATCAGACACACACACACACACACACACACAGAAATCCCCATCCCCCGTTCTGAAATCAATGACGGTTTGAGCCATTTGTTGCTCCCGTTCGTAAAGAAATTATTTTTGGAATATTCAGAACTCAAGTCTAAATGACATTTGATAGAATAGGGGAGACATAACAGGTGAGGGCCAAAAGAGAAATATAAAGAATTTGATTTATGTGTATGTAAGACCAAATAGGAAATTGCATTCCCCTGTACAGTTGCATGAACTATCAATTTAATCAATTTTTAGGATTTTTAAACCAGTTGATAATATTTTCAGGTTTGATGCGTCAGCTGGCATTTTAACTGCACGTGTTACAACTTTAAACAAAGAAAAACTGTTTGCTGACCTCACATAAGATGACAGAACATTCAACAAAGCTGGTTTATATCATCTGCTTTATGGTAGGATTAAGTACTGAAGTGATAGACTTCGTTTTTGATTCGCATAAACATTAATATGGCTCAGGCTTGGTCTTCAGAGTAAATGTAACAAAATATCCCTGTGACTTATAATGTTGCTGGAGATACTATGAAACATGATCTAAGGATGAAAGGGAATGGGGATTTGCTTACTCCTAGCTAAAAGGAATACTGAGGCATACAAAGAGGAGATAACGGAAAAGAAATACGACCTAAGTTTTTTTTTTTTCAACCACAGAGAAAAGTAATTAGCCATTTCCAACATTAATGAATTCAGAGTCATTTAGCTGAATTCAACATACCAAACCCAAACCACATGATAATTCTTGCTGAACATATGCAAGTGAAAGCACGCAGGACCATATTACGTCAGAGGCTAAAATGACTCATTCTGAACACCGGGACCTGTGAATCTGTAACAGCAAGTCAACAAAACAGCAAGCTAAGAAGAGGCAAAGGTCGTTAAAAAAAAACAAAAAAAAAACACTCACAGTAGCTCTGTTCCAAGGATCATCTGCACCTTTTCACCGGAGTGGTTGCTACGGAAACACAGTCGGAAGAGATGGTTGGCGCTGGCCTGTCGTGAGCTTAGCATGCTGGTTGTGGTTTTGACGGGTGACAGGGTGAGATCCTCGGGCTGGCGGGTATCCACCCAGATCTGATCCCTCAGAGCGTAGTCGATCACCGTGTAACTGTCCTCGCTGACAGGAAAACAAAGAGGAAAGAAATGCTCAATGACCTTAATCGCCTTCCATGTTCTGGAAACACTGCACCTGTTTGGAATTCAACAGGCTGATTTCGGTTGAGAGGATAACAGATTTATCTCTAAGTGTAGCTGAGGTTTTAGCAATACATGTTCTTTTTCACTGAAAGGCTGTTGCTTTGAAATTGAACTGTGGCTTATTTGGCTGTTTAGAAAGAGACAATAAATCAGATAAACATTTCAAATGCTAAGCAATGAGAAAGTGCACTGTAACGAAAACCAGCACAAAAAACGTGTTATTACAAAATAACTAATAATGCTCTATCTGTACTTTGTGTAAGATTTTATAAACGGAGCAGGAATTAGGGTCTCCTAACAAAATTATGTTTTTTGCTATTTGTTTTACAAATCTCAAGTAAAAATTAAGATTCTTGACTTTACAAAAACATTGATTGAAATTTAACCGTGAGAACAAAAGCCCTTAAATTGTCCCCCAGATGCCAAAGCAGCTCACACAGAAACAAAGCATTACTGAAGCCCACATTTTTTTAAGCTGGTATGTGACAGATCAATTCCTACGAGATAGCTGACCAGTGCATTCACTCCCTGAAGCACCATTACATCGTTCTTCGTGCGGTATAAAGTTTCAACAACCTGGACCCAGTTTGACAAATGAGTTGTGACAAGACACACAGTGGTCGATACCTACATCCCTGGTTGAACTGAGGGTATTGGAAATGTGAGCGTTTAAGAAAAGGCAGACAGATGGGCAGTGTGGTATGTGCAGTGAGAGGCCAAAGGCCAGGTGCTGCATGCCATTTCTACATGTGCATCGTAGCCTGGAGCGGCAGGACAGAGCTCTGTTCAGACACACTCCACACCCTAAAACAGGCTCGCTCAAACAGAAGCACAGACTGGAAATCCCTTTTCTTTTAGATCTGCACACATCTGAGGAATTTAGTGGGACATAAACCTCATATGTCAATCTGTTTTCCGCTGGTCATGGACTTCTCTATGCTGGCACGGTGTACCGAAAATTTAATGACAGCAGAGTTAAACTGTCTGTTCTTCAGCAGGACTCAGACTTCTTGACGTAGGCAAAAAAACAAAAAAGAGATTTTAAGAGGGAGGATCTTAAAGAGAAAGGAGGAAGCTAGTGGATGTACTGCTTTCTACTTAAGGTTAAGAAAACAGCAAATATATAGACTAACCCAGTGAATCCACAATGACCATACAGAGTTTAAACAGGACAATAGATATTAGATAGAAATATGTAGATTTTACTACAAAAACTGGCTCTGCGAAATATTCTCATAAGTCTCAGCAAAGTAGTCTTTAAGTGAATATCATGAACATTATAAACTAGATCTTTTTTCTTTTTTACCTTAAGTCAGTCTGAGCATTAAAACATTTTCATCATGTAATATAATAGAAATAATTACACTACCCATTACTTCCAAAATATTTTTTTTTAAATCCCTTTTTCTTCTTGTAATATTAAAGAAATCAGACTTTGTGGAATCAAAATTGAAAGAGTTTAAAATGACACATCATCGAATGATAATTACTTCTATCGACTGACGTAGCTACACGTTAGGAACAGGAGCTCGCGTTTTGGCTCGTGACTGACTTACAGGTAAAATTCCAGGAACACCATGAGCATGACACTCGGGAATGGGGTGTGGAAACTTCATATTTGCAGTGTTAGTTTTCCTTCCTGTGTGGTGAGTAGGCACACAAAAGCAGATGATTGCTAAATACTAGAGGAATAAGGATAGGAAATGGTCTTAATATCCTATTTTGGCGCCAAAAGCCTAAGTGTCAGCTGAAATAATGTCATCTAGAAGCTGCTTCCCTCTCCAGCTAAATTAGAAATAAACATATATGTCGGTATGAAAATCACTCTATGTTTGGAGATAACACAGGCATCTACTGAATGTTATCACATCTGTGCCAGCTACTCGTTTTCTACTGTACATCTAGTTCCTCAGAAAGATGTTGAGATTGGACTGCAGTTCAAACATGCATAAGGTCATGCACGTGCACGCCCATGGGGAAAGTTTGTATGGAGTGTGAGATTAGGGTGGTATAACACGAGAGGAGAACGTCCTGGAATCAGATCTAGGTACAATAACACAGAAAATGATACTACCTAATGGAAATAGAGAAGAGGATTAGAGGATTAGACAACATAAGAGGAGAGGGTAGATTTAACAATGTTTAGATGATGCCCAGAAATCAAACAGGAAAGGAGGGAATTGAAGAAGGGAAAGGAGCCATCTGGTTGGTTATGTAAGTGTTCCTCTGGACAAGAATGAAGCAGAACAGCACCTTCCACATGTGTTACAACAACCCAGTCTGGTGTTTTTTATACAGACAGCCTCAATAAAGACCCAGTCTGAAATCATTAAAACAAGTAAATCTGTTCAATTATTCTTTTTTCTTTCTACAATCAACACATAACAATGTAGAAAAAATACAAAAGTGAGATAGTTTAAACATATTAGAACACATTTTTAGGTTTTAAATAAATATCATGCGGTTGCTTCAAATAGGTATTTAGATCAAACAAATTATTAGGCTGGAAATGATCAACTAACCATGGTCTATTGAACATGGCCTCTTTTCCAGACTTAATTGGTCCATCAAAACAACATCAGAAACACAAAAGGTATTCCATTATAACACTAAATAAGGAGCAAATACAACACTTTTTTAACAACCGTCTGTCTGTCTTTTGAACATTAAAGATGGGCCTAAAATCTGAAAACACTGTAAGGTCATTGGTTTGTTTTTCCTCCCCCACTGTGTAAGTGATGTGGCTATGACCATGTAACCTCCTCCCTCTGATAGTATTTCTAGAAATGTAAACAGGATGGGGATTCTAGCACACTGCAATACTACATTTGGCAACAAAGAGCAGTAAGCCTAATGCAACACAACCCAAGGACGTGCTTATGATATCATTATGACCATAAGCGTTGTGACCTGCTGCTACCTGGTGAGCCTTGTGAACCCGGGCGTGTTTTTGCTTTCATTACAGCAGATGGAGTGCGGTGGAGTAGCGTGCCACAGCGTGGCTCCACCGTACAAACCAATATTATAACAGCTTCTCCCATTCAAACTTACACACAGGCACAAATACACACTCCGATTCCGGAGTACTCCCTTTCAAAATCCTTCTTCCAAACACAGACCTGACACCACACTGCTGGAGTTTGCTTTCCCGGATCGGATTCTCAGAAAAATATTATATGGAATGTTTTTTTTTCTCCCTTTTTTCATGATTCTTGGGAACTCTCAGTCTGCGAGTGGCTGGACAATCAGTTCCAGACACACAAGGCGGATAGAAGGAAAGGATTTTTCTGGCAAAAATAGACAAAGCATGCAAGTGAACTCGCATGCAAATCAAAACCACATCATCATATGGAAGCCTTCTGTATACTTTCTACGTTAATGGTGTTTCCGTAAAGTTTGGGAAAAATACAATGGAAAAAGCAGACTCACTTAACAGGGATGACAAGAAATATTTTGCGAACCCTTGTTGACAAAATGAGTTCTGTGGGATGTGTTGACACTTATTGGGCTCAGTTAACAACACCATCCATCCATTCTCTCTATCACTTATTCTCATGGGATCGCGGGCATTAACAACACCTGATCAGCTTAAAAAACACACCTGTGACAAAATTGGACAGCTTCACAATAATGTCTGTACTAATTTGATGCATTTCCTGTTATTCAAAGTAGTTTCACTTTCAGCATGTTTTGCTGTAAATATTCTTTATTCCTTATTCCGCCAGGACGTGTTCAAACACAAGCCTGAGAGAAAATTGCTTCCCATGTCGTAAAAATCTGGGTCACAAGCAGTAAAAACCAAATGCTTAAGGTTATCCCTTCACCATCAACGTGTCAGCACAGGTGAGTAACGAGCAAAGCCTGCGGTTCGAGGTGACACTCACACCAGATCGGTCTAACGCAAAAGTCAGAACACAGCGTCCAGCAGTTAAGCGTGTGATCCAGAGCAGGCTCACCTCTTCTTCCTGGTTACGATGAACACGTCATTGAAGAGGAAGAAATAGACCTGCTGTCTCGACGTCCGCTTCAGGAAGAGCCCGCTGTCCTCCACAAAAGCCGTCAGCTCGCCTCTTTTCACCATCCATCTCGAAGATGAAACCAGCGGGAAAGGCTAGAAGAGAAGTCGAGGAAAATGAAACTTACTGGCTTTCCTTAGAAGTTCCTGTGGACTTTTTTGGGGAAATACCACAACACAATTTGTGTGAGTGAATGCCTGACTATGCACAGCAAGAATCCGGTTACTGGACATCTGTGATTCGCAAGTGTCTAACGGCCATTTCTCACACTACTCAAGCTGCCCGGCCCTGTGTCTGTTCAGTGAGTGTGAAGATCTGCCAAATGGTTGACAGTGGCATGTGAGTGATTTCCATGACTGCATGCAACATTATGTGAGGGTTATGCTTTCTTTGACGTGCATACAAATAAATTCAAAGGTAACTGTGGCCGCAGGTCCATCTTTCCACTTTGATGAGAATTTGGGAGGATGATCTAGATATCACTTAGTACATGTGAAGTTGGGCAGAAGTCTGTAAACACTCTTAAAATCTGCATATCTCCAAGTCTCAAATGGTAATGCTTTTGGATGTTATATGAACTCAGATTTTATGCTATTTCCATACCTTGATCTTGAATTCCAGCTGTAAGTTGATGGTGAACATCATTTCTGTTCTCTCCATTCTGCGAGCTCCTTCATTACACTTCCGGACCACCTGCTCAAAAATATACAACGTGTCCATTAAACACAATATTAAGACATTTTCTAATCAATGGTGACATTTTAGCATGTATGTTTATTGATGGAAGATGTGAGTTTGACAAAATGGTTTGTGGATACAACAGTAAATTTCACCTAAACATATATATAAATAATGACCTTGCTGACTGCTTGCAAACCCTTCTTGCACTGTTCATATTGTGCTGAGTCTTTGGGCATCTTCTGGCAAATAGTCTGTAAGACAGAAAATCAACACACCTGTCCTTTACACCATAAGAACACACATACTGGACAACACTCGACCACACTCTATAAGTAGCATAATGGAACACTGAAGCTGTGGGAAAAAAATTAAGTAAAATAAAATTTTCTCATAATCCGAAAACCTCAGAGTACAACCATAAATCCCACACTCTCTCGGGAGACATTAACAGAAGGCAGAGCAGGATAAAAGGGCAGCAAGAAAAATGGCTGGAGGGAGGCACAGCAGAGGCAAAATGTAGTAATGCCAAAGGAAACATGAAAGTGAAGAAGAAACAACATGAAAAGAAATGAAAGTGGATTTAAATCATTGAGGATTACGGAGGAGTGACGCGAGGTCAAAATGTCATATTTGAGGTTAGAACACACCCAGTGCAGAGTCGGTTTGGGTGGTGCGAATAAACAAACTGTTGCAAAACGCTCAAAATCTTGTAATTCCAAAGCTTGTGCTACTGTGTGTCATGAGTTCACTCACATCCATGAGCAGAGGCAGGCGGGTGATCCTCTGCATTGGCAGGATGAGGAAGGAGATCATGGGGAGGCTCCTGCATTCTGGGTGGCCCTCTATTCTTGTCAGTACATCCTTAAAGGCTGGATTATTTGACCTGCGGGGGGTAAAAAGGTAGAGACTGGGTCAGTGGATTAATGACAACACACACACAGGGAAGGAGGGAAAAAAAACTCCATGCGGTCTCAGAATTTGCAGCCAATGCGAAACGAGCATCTGTTCTGTGTGTCTGTGTGTGTGTGTGTGTTTTTGCTCGACTACTCACACCAGCTTTTGCAGGGTTCTCTGCTGGTAGACCTCATTGGAGCAGTATGTGATATAAGGATCGAAATTGGACTGAGCGTGCTTGAAAACAATGTCGCTGATGTCGTCGATGACGACGCTCTGATGGTGTCTTTCCTCCAGTTCCTTAAAGAACCTGAACACAAAGGTTTGATGTGACAGTCACGTCAGGTTTTCATACCGTACAGTGCAACACAAAGTCAAACTGATCAGTTGATGAGTCATCGCCTTCAGAGGGAAATACAGCACACGCTGACACATCCAAAGGCAGGAAGGTGAGAAGCACCTCACCTCTAAACCTGCTGTGAAATCCCACGAGGAACTCCCTGACACTTTAAATAGACACAACCTGCCATTAAGCATAACACAGAGGCTTTTCCTCTTCCTGAAGACCACCAGATGGCCGGGTTTAACAACACGCCACTTGGCCAACTTCAAGAGAGTAAGTGATTTGCGTGCGAGGATCTAAGTGACAAACAGGAAACTGTTGCACAGACACAGGATGCTGCCCTTGACCGATTGGACCAGGTTTGTGCTCATCTGCAAAAGAACATCCAGCACCTCATGGCATCCCTACCCACTCCACACACACACACACACACACACACACACACACACACAGACTGACACCCAGCTTTTACCTATCTGTGGGAAACAATGTGGCAATGCAATCTTGTATTAATCCCTGACAGCATTCTCTTCCAACTACGCTTCCAATGAGCATGAGCACCCAAGATAGCAAAAACAACACACATTCTGACACTTCTGGGCCACGCCCTAAAGGTGACTTTAGGGCTTTTAAATAGGTTTGCCCCAATGGCAAAACACAGGGTACGTGTGTAGCAGTGACAGGACAGTAAGATACATGCACATGAACTACTCAACACACATGGGAGATTGCTAGCAGAAAGATATTTAGCTTTTGTTTTGAGAGATTTGTTTTGAGAGATTGAACTTTAGTTCAGCTCACTTTATCTGATCAAAGCAAAAGTTATTGTGTAACCAGTACTGAAAGCCTTGCTGTGCCCTGCTGCCCTTTAGTGTAATAAAGTGGTATAGTTTTAGATTGTTGTGCATAGCCTGTATATGAGTGGGAATAAAGATGGGATGCAGCGTGTACAAACACAGGACGGAATATTTGAGGAACCCCAAATGCACGCAAAGCAGCAATGATATTTGCAGCAATGTTCACCTTTGTATATGTATGAAAAAATATATGCTTTACATATTCAATAAATATGAAGCAGTTAAGCAGGTAAATCACTCTCTTTTTTGAAAGGGGCCTCAAATCTGGTGTGGAATGTGTGAGCAAATCTCTTAAACAATTGCACAAAAACGCAATAAATACCCTGCCACCACACACGCAGAGTCCTTGAAAACTTTTGGAAAAGTGGAAATCTTTTTTTAACAATTACTGTGGGCAATAAATTATAGGGAAAATGTACATAACTTAATACCTTAATCAATAAATAATAAGGATTATCACAATTTGTGTAAGTTTACTGCTGCAACACAGAACAACGCAGGAGGTCATTTCTGCCAACAAGTTTGGGATAAATAAGGTGTGTTTTCGTCAACTACATGTCCTAGGTTAAAAGCTGACACATCAAATCGGAACCAATGTTTAACAAAACAAAACACTTCCTGTTTTTCATTTGCCACTACTGTAGTAGTTCTTTCTTACCTGTTGTTATCTTAAAGTACAGTAAGACTGTCACTACCTGTGACCACAGAAATAACAGAGTCCAGCACTACAATTGCTTAGCCAGTGCAGAGTTTCTCCCTCTCAGCTTTCAGAGCCGCTAATGGATGATTGTTTCAACCAATTTACAGGCTCAAGTCTGCCTAGTTCAGTGTGGTCTCATATACATGGGCACCACGGTGGACAGTTAAACTTGGAATGCTCATTAGAGCAAAGTTTGGCCACTGTACCTTTCATAAAATATGGCAGCGCTCTGTTTTCTGTCTCTGCCCACACTACTTACACACACACACCCACACACACAACTTCGGTGTTGCTTTAACAGTCTTTTTACACTGACTGAAAGTGGCAGAGGAAAATTATTAAACTCCCTGGTCAGATCCACAAATCATCTGTAAGTGCACATTCATTTGAGCACCTACAGTAAATACAGAACTACAACGTTATGTTCAAAATAAATCCACAAGCGTACTTTTTGCTGGCTTCGCAGACATCTGTGATGTTGGAAAAGAGATGGTGGTGTTCGGTCTTGGTCATGGTCCCTCTGAGCTCTGTGGAGTTTTTGAACATCCGGATCAGGATCTCCAGACTGTGAAGGTAGGAGTGCTCTGAGGAGATGACCTCAAAAATGGCCTAAGACAGGAAGAGACACAGATTAAATGTGGAACAAGTTCAGAGTGTTGTTATCACTCAGGGTCTTAATTCAGAGGAGTGAGCTCGATTATCAACATGTCCCACAAACCTGCAGGCTTCAGTCATGTCTGGAATGTTAATGAACATAGACATCTAAGCACTTCTGAGCTGGTTTTGTCCCCTTTTAAATAAGTTGTATAATCATCTGTGTCTTTCTTTAGCATGTATTTTCTTTGTCAGCATAAACAACCCCGAGATGCAAGTTATTTTTTAGTTTCCTCTTGAAGGATTTTTGTAGATGTGGTTGAGTATAACAAGACCAAAAAGACAGCGTCACTCCCCCAGTTCTTGATTAGTATCAACCTGTGTGTGTGACCATAAGCATAGAGATATGGGAACCCTACCTCTTGCTTTTTGCGTTCTTCCTGACTCATCAAGTCAGACAAACCACTTTTCTTTACCTGAAAAGAAAATATGATTTGTTACAACACCAAAAAAAAAGAACAATAAAAAAAAATCAAGTCATGTTTCTTTGACTCCAAAAAGGATTTTAGTTGATGACTTTTTGCCCAGTCAAGATCATCCATCAAAGGACAAGGAACCCTTTGCATATCAGAGTTGAAAAAAGATCTGGGCCACAAAAATGAGGAAGAGGATTTTCATTTATAAAGAAAACAAGAAATAAGCTGCAGCCATGAAACTGATAGGGAAAAGGGGCAGCTCTCTTGTACACTTAATGACTTTCAGCATTTACTTAAAACAGAGTGTGCGTGTTGGTATGCAGCTGTTGAAGTGCCGGTCGGCTGCTATTTGAAAAAGACAAAGCAATGTTTTGAAATGGACTGGGTGCGGAGAGCTATTGAATTAATCAGCCTGCGGCTTCAGTGGACTCAAGAAAGGTTGAGTGAAAACTATGTCAGTTTCTCATGTTTCACCAAAACCATCTCCTGAGAGGAGTAAAGGATATATTCCTTCCTTCCACAAGCTTCTCATCCTGTTTGGCTATAAAATGACTAAATGACCTCCTCCAGGAGCAGTATCACTTCTGCACGAGTATCGGTCCTGCAGTTCCTCAGCAAACACTGGGAACAAACACACTGGCAGCAGCTCAAACATCTCGTGCAGTCTTTCTTTCAGACTATTTTAATGATCTATCAGTTTCACAGGAGGTTGGTGTATTGGCAACAACGCACCCTTGGGGAGCCAACCAATGCGTCCTCCTTTTTTAGTCTGAGGGTGGAGCTTCCACAGCCGTTTGCTGTCACATATCGAAAGGAATTTAAAAGTTCTCTTCTGTTTCCTTGCTCGGAATTTAGATTCCCGTAAAATTGAAAATTCAGGGATCTGATGCAATAAAGCAATAGCAAACAATAATGACACAGAGCAGCTGAGCGGGAAGAGATGACAGCGATAACGTGAAACTCACAAGAAGACAACCTGTACATCTGGTTCTAGGCTTCACCGGAACTAAACTACATTTCCCGTCATAGGTTGACACTGACAGTACCTTTCCACTATTCCTAACTAAATCTGAGAGATGGGTGAAACAAACTCAAGAGTTGGATTCACACCGACTCATAAGAAGTTCACATATAGATCCACAGCTGTGTAGCAGCTGTGATGAAAAATCACTTACTTCAGGGGGGTCTCGGTCATGCTGGCAGAGTTACCAAGCCCTCAGTTCACATCTGTGTCTTTGCTGATTTAAACAAATGCGAATATACTCTTGAGAATCTTCTCTGGTTTCTATCTAATTTGGCATTCATTAGAGTCAGAGTGCACACGCCCAGTAATTTGAGAGCCAATTCTCTTAAGCTTTTTTGTCCCCATCTTTTCCCCATCTTACGCAACAAGTAAACAAACAGATAGGAATGCTTTAATGGGGAAAAACTAAGTTAGCTCATTCTCTTCTGATTTATCTTTCTTTGTCTTTCCATTCAAACCCTTAACTATATTATGCAATGCAGAGCCAGCACACATCTCACTACGGGCAACATTTTAAGCATATTTCCAGTCTGACGAGTATCCAGAGTTTGCCAACACACTGGCATCAGGCCCAGCAGTGCTTCCAAGACTTCCTGTGGCTCTGGCTGACTGTCTGCCTCCAAGTCTGCCCTAATCCTAGAAGAACTTCACTCCCTGATAAACAGAGTGAGGGGCAGAGGGAAGCAGAGGCAGCGGGAGGATGGGTATGGAGTGTGGCCAAACTGGTTATGACAGCATTCTTCAGAGCTCTGGAATTCCAAGACTACACGGCTACGGCAATGAGATCACAAGCATGCGGGGAGTCAGGAAAGACAGAAGCCAAGTGGAAGCAATCAAAACTGTGTCTGCTCGTGTGTTTTGTCTTACCACACTGAGCTGGCTCCAGGAGATACGTATGGGTCTGTACTGTACCACGATGTGATTATCAGGTTTGGCTTCCCTTGATTCGGCATCCTCATCGGAGTCGTTATGTAGGGCCTTCTCTTGGTAATTCTGATACAGCTCCTCCTCTGAAATACAGTTGTATGTTATTAAAGATTCTTTATTCTGACTGTTTATGAGACAAGCGGAGTAGACTGTGAAAGCCTGAAGTGAAGAAAAGGGTGTGGTAAAAATACAAAAAACAGATGGCTGGCTCTCACCCTCACTGTCAAAGGTCCGCTGAGCGGTCAAAACTTTCTTGTCTGGACTCTGAAACAGAAGCAAAACCCGGTCAAAGTTCAGTTACATTAAAAAGACATGTGTGCCTCTGTCACCTGTCAATGACCCATGGATGCACTTTTTCATGACCCCCTTCACTGACCCCCATCTAATTACAGAGCAATTGTGTGTCTAAGTGTGTACGTGCGGCCACAGTGTCACATTACATCATAATTCCCAACAACCACATTAATTGTTCCCTTGTAAAGCTTTGTCCCAACGTCTGCTGCAGCTAAGTTTTTTCCACAATAGTCAGCCTGTGTTGCACTTTTACAATTTGGACTTTACCCCTTCCGAATCTGAAAGTCTGTTTCAAAGCGATCTTTGTACTAGGCAGTATATAAAACTATTAGAGAGATTGTGATTAACTGAATAAAGAAATTATAACCTTCTATTGCAAAGGAAACTTATTGGGCAAATGTCAAACTCTGCAGACAGTTAAGGAGTTGTTGTATTTCACTTATACATTTGATCTAAGCAACAAAGTATTTCCATAAAAAAAAGTAGACAAACCTTTCCATGAAACATTCAAATCTTTAGTACTATTTCTATAGGAACGTTCTAATGTTAGATTTGGCCCTTAAGAGAATCAAATACCTGAACACTGACTCTGTCAGTGGTACTGATTCATAGTGACCCACCTTATTTTTTGTGTTGCTTTTAAATATCTCCAACCCGGGGCTGGAAGCCTTTGGAGTCCTGGGGCTGACAGTTTTTGGCGTCCCAGGGCTCGTAGTCTTGCCTTTTCCAGGACCAGTGAGGATTTTGTTGCCAGGGTTTGTCGGGGTACCGGGTGTAGACGGATTATCTGAAGCGAGCCCTCTGATGACGGGCTGGGACAGCCGATGATTCTTCGGGTCGGCCGACTGAGCGTCCATTTCAACTCCACTGACAACTGCCCTCCGGTAAGACGTACTCCTCAAACCCCTCCTCAATGTCCCCGGGCTCTCAGATTCTCCATCTGCAGCTTGGCCCACTCCAGTAGAGAAGTAGGCTCCTGTTTCCACCATGCTAAGGGCTTTAAGTGCTCGTTTTGAGTTCTCCAACCCCAACAGCCCCGTAGAACCTTGGATTTGTGCCCCCGAGGGAGGTGCCCTGCTCTGACGGGTATCAGACACCAACCCTTTGGGAATGAGCTGCTGGGTGCCCATCTTCAGGGCGGCGGGACTGTTGGTGCTGAGGACTACTGGGGAAGACGGAGAAAGTGACGGTGAGGGAGAAATGGAGGGAACGGAGGCAGGGGAAGAGACGTGTGGGGTGGCCTTTGAGGGTGTCTGAGACGTCCCGAGCAGGGCTTGCTCCGAGTCCGCCGGTGATGGGGAGCGAGGCGTCGGAGGGTCGGAAGAAGTTAAGGACGAGAAAGAAGGGATGCTGGAGGAGGAGCTGTGGGAAGGGGTGAGGGTGGATTGCGATAAGGGAGAGGAGCTGGATATCGATGAAAGGGGGGACAATTCGCAATGGTTATTGTTAGGAGTCTGTGGAGAGAGGGTGGGTGAGGAACAGCTAAGGGAACCAACATCAGGTAAGTCTGAATCCGGCCCAAACGCTATCTGGTCTTCCTGTGAGCTTACGCTAAGGAAATTAGATGAGTGTCTCTGAATGTCCTGGGGATGCTTTTCAGGCCATATGGATTGTCCGTAACTGGTCTTCCTGTGGCCACAGTCTCCATTTTTCACTCTGTTATCCAGTGAAGCAGATCTATTATCCTCAGACCTAAATTTGGAAAGCGAGAAGCGTCTGTTGGTGAGCTGGCCGATGCTGATGCTCCTCACGACTCTGTTTTTCCTCGTGGGTTTGTGTAGAACGTGTTTTAACACCACAGTGTTCCTGTCCAAACACTGAGGTGTCACCACCAGCCTCTCAGCAGGCTGGCTCAAAGTGAAGGAACATTTGCTGTCCTCCACAGGGAAGCTCATAGATGTGACCCCATTAATGTGGTAACTCAGAGGTCGCGGTTTAGATTTATTTGAGTCCTGGGAGCTCTTGCTGTTGTCGGTGCGTCGTTTCCACAAAGGCATGATGTTGTTATTGGATAAATCTACATCATTGCCAATATCCATGGCTGTGTTGCATCTGTGGCCCAAACCTGGGTCCAAGTAAAAACACTGAGGTTCTGAAGCAGATCCCCCACCTTGAGAGAAACAAAGGAGAGGAGTACCAGTCAGAATCCAGACCACAGAGCAGTGTGCATGTTCCCAAAGTTTACTCAGACTGACCAAAGCCCAACTGAACACACACACACACACTGGCAAAAACATAAGGCAAGACGCTGAAGACAGATGATAGCTCTTTTGTATTTGCTCACTGTGGTGAAATGCCCCAATTACAAAAACGAAGCTGGCGAGATATTGTTATCAAGCAAGCAATTACTGTAGTGCCACAGAAAAGAAAAAAACACGCTGCGTAAAAGTTAAGGCTTTTCTTTTCATCCGTTTTAGTCCCAAAGTAAACTTTCATCTACTTATGTTCATCCCTGTGAAAACGCAGAAAAACAAGTAGGCATGCCCCCCCCTCCCCATTTAACGATAGTACTAAACTGCTTCTGCAGCAGGTTAAAGTTCAACTTACCTCCAGTCTGCCGATCCGTGTCAAATCTGGCCGCACTACCTGCGCTCTGGGGAAACTACATTCTTTGGCGGAACAACAGAAAATCGATCAAATGTGCTTCCAGGTCTGAATTCGGTAAGCTGGAACAGAAGTTACAGAAGTTGATCGGCCGGAGACTTCTGTGCGCCGCAGTAAACGCGTCTGTGCGCCGCTGAGCGCGCTGAGGAGTTTCTATGACCAGGAGGAGGAGGAGGAGGAGGAGGAGGCGAAGGGGAGGGAGGAGGAGGAGGAGGGAGCTCCAATAGAGGAGTGAAGCAAACGGCTACCCTTCATTTTATTAAGTCCATTCAGGCCGCGCATCAAATTGATTTTTCCAAACATAGAAGAGAAACACTTTTTTATTTGAAACATTAGAACAGAAAATGGCACAATTACATAGTAGAAACGCACTGAAAACTGTTTAAAAAGGTGTGTGGCAGAAAATTGAAACATTTAAACAAAGACAATCATCAGGCATGTTTATGAACACATGTACTATTTAAAAATTTCAGTCACATTAGATTTTGAGGTAAATTCACCTGTTGCTATTTTGCGCCACCGTGTGTTTGGTGGTGCTATTGCAACTAGTGTGCACAATCACTGAAACAGTTGGCCATCGTTATTTAGCTGCAAATTGAAGGGTGGCGAAGTGAATTTTTCCCGTCTAAATATTTACAAATGTTCGGAAACATCGGACAAGACTGGGGCGCGTAATATAGGCCATGGAGTAACTAAAGCATCTTGAAAGATTTATGGCGTTCATTCCGTGTCCAATAAAATGTGTTTTGCAACTTGTGACTGTGGTTTTTCAAGTGCACTTTTCATTGCGCAATTCCGCGCAAGACAAAATGTACTCATAAAATAAACACAAAAATGTCCCCTTATACTTTGGTAAACAGATTAATCACACACAGACAAAAGTACGTGTCAATTTACAATGTTTGCATGCAATTGAGGCGTCAGACTTATAACAGGCTCTAATGTCCTGCTTGTTTAGTATCATGTCCTGCTGTTCATCAGTTTGGCCACTAAATGGCGCAATTATCATGTTGTAATGCCAACTAGTGTTAACTGGTGTCAACATAAATGTCATATGGATTCAATAACCTTCATTTGGTTCCGCTGTTTAAATTATATATTGAATTTAAAATACATTCACCTTACCTGTTGTAGCAATGTGCTTATCAATTACATCAGTATCATGGCATAAAATGAGCATTTCCAGTTGTTTTACATACATTTGCCAACTTGTTTAGGTGCTATTAGTATATTTAAGGTAAGTTATTTAAATTTTGTGTTTAGACCTATTTATAATTTCATTTATTGTTTTCATCATCATTAGTATTAAGCTTTTATGACTAAATATAATGAATATTCCTTTTGGCTGTCAATTGTCTGCTGAATACATTCAACTCATCAATTCAAACCTGTTCAGGCATACAAACAGGTAGGAAAGGCAAAATAGAGCTATGGTACATGGTTTTATGAAAAAGAAAAAAATTGGAAAAAGATAAATGGGGGGAAAAAACACAAGGTGTAATTTAGCTTATTAAAGTCAGTCTGTAAATGAAAAAAAATGTGTCAGAACAAGCTTTTCTTACTTGCGATTAATTAATGTAAAACTCAGAGGACTGTCTTAAACGGTGCACAAAAAGTATGGCATTTATAGAAATTAAAACCTTTTTAAAGAGTAATTTGAAATAAAATGGGTTTCTCATAAATTTGGGAACACATATATGTGTGCATATATAGTATTTATCTATGGAAGTTCAGATTGACTATGTTTTTCTCCTCCAACAAAGTTGACAGCAGTGACAGGAGCACAAAGGTCCAACACCCTAACTGTTCTTCACGCACAGCAAACAGTCTAGCCTAAAGCAGCTAACTCTGTCTTAGATTATTGTCTTAAAAAGGTGAATTAAGAAAAGTCTCAAAATCCTCAAATAGGCTTATGTTTGAAAAGTGGCGTATATTACCAGAAAGAAAGAGTATCTTGTTGTACCAAGTGCCAAGGATTACGGCCTTACCGTTCATTCTTTTGTTTCTAAGCCGCTTAACCTGCAGGGTTGATCCAAAAGTGTTCGCTGCATCTGTGTGTATTTGCATACATTTGTCTGGGAAAACATTTCTGCAGCAATTTGTAGAGCTAAGTGTTTTAAATCATACTTTCAAAACATGGGAAAATCAGCTTACTTATTGTGGAGAAGGGCAAAGCTTACGGTGTTTTCTTGAGTCAAGGCGCAGTTCTGGATGTTTTTAGTGTAGTCACAGAAACAGCAGGGTGCATTTTCTCAGTCCAAGTGGGAGTTTTCTTTTTTCAGTTTTCTTGGGCTATTTCTGAAAATTAGCTGCTTTATCTCACATTCAGGGGCGCAGCATCCAAAGAATGTTCTCCTTTATCTCTGCTTTACTGGGCTTAGGGAGGAATCCTTGAACCTTACAAGCTGGGAAAATAAACAAAACAAAATACAATATGCACGTAAATATACGTTCAAAACATAAGCATTTATCCAACCTGCATTTATCCAAGAGAAAAAATTAATCCGCATTGGTTTGAAGTGTGACGGTGGATGCATTATTCATTATTTGGGTAGTCAGAGATTGAAATGTATGGAGATGAACTAGAACTGTGTTAGGCTCTGGACCATGGACAGAGCAGAAGTATGTGACGGCATGTGCAAACGAGTACTGAGAGCAAAGACCTCACCACTCTAACAGAAGACAGGGGTCAAAGGTCACAGCCATTTGGACGAATAGCTTGGATGACTGTGGTGTCTGATGTGCAAAGTAATGTTTACAGTTTGATAATTTATCGACACATAATTGTGAGAAAAAAAACATAAGTTGGGAATTCAGAGTTGAGGTCATTCTTTGTTATAATGACCGTATAGAAAAAGAAAGAAAAGATCTGAATGAGGAAGTCAAACATACAAACAAGCAAAAAGCCCCTGGGGGGTTTGTGCGTGTGTGTGTGTGTGAGAGCTGTACTTTGCATCACACTTCCCATTATCTGTCAAAAGCAGCCTATCTAAATGCCGTCTATAAACAGATATCTCCATTTAACAGTGTGTTGTATAACACATGCTGGTGTTTCAGCTCGGTTTAGGAGCGCCTCCACCCTCTCCCTCTCGCTCATCGTGAGTTACCAGCACAAGTTCAATGCCAGATATGAACATTAAAGCCACAGCATCATACACAACATTCCTGAGCATTGTCAGTCTTTTAGCATTTTTAAAAAAAGCCCTCCACACACTGACCTTTTCTCAGCATACCTCTCTTTTTGCCTCGCTCCTGATTTTCCTCTGACTCACAGCCTATTGTACTTCTCCTACTCAGCACTGCCGTTTGCTTGCCGTCCTTGTCCCTCCCTCCCCTCACCCTTCACTTCCACCCACACGTCTCCTCATCCATCCTGTCAGAGAACGATACAGGGGAAAGCCAACAACTGTAATTACCAATGCTATAAGTAATACGGGGAGAAAAAATGCGCGCTAAAAAGGAAATGCATTTGGGAGATGGGGGAAGAATAGGTGCAAATATATGTATCGATCACATTATGTATGGATGAGTAACATCTTCTAAAACTGAGACATCCGCTGGCTAGTGTGAGAAAGTTTACTCACTGTAAGTGTACTTTGTCTGAACTTACTCAGTGGTTAGCATAGTTAAGTAGTTGTAGTGTTAAGAAAGCAGACCAATGTGTGTACACAAGTGCATATGGAACCAGCACAGGGGGCATCTGCTCCATAATACACACATTTGAACCCAGGCTAATCACCATGGTTACAGGCCTTCAAGATTAATGTGATTGGCTGATAGAACTGCGATGACCCGTGATTGACTCTCCCCTGTGGGTTCTCATTGGATGTGTGCCCCAGGATGATGATGTCATCGCATTTGCCATGTTGCAGTAAATGTGGCATCGAGATATGCACTAGTGGGCATGGGCAGCCAGGGCAGAACCAGATCAAAACTGGAGGGGAAAACTGTGTGAGTCTCAGTGTTAGTGTGCTGGTGGCAGAAGAGTAGGTGCCAAACCCACCTGATTCCCTCACTCCTGTCTGTGGCTGCATGTCTTAAGGAAAAACTAACTGACACATCTGCAGAATGGTGAGTAAATATTTTTATGCCAAACAAACCCAAATAAAGAATTATTAAGAGCGTGGGAGAAAAAGTTATGTGCCACGTACAGACGCTAATGGATGGATTATTAATTAAGATGGCAAACAGCACATCGGGCTCAAAGCCCAGCGGCTTATTAGGGTGTGTAGGAGGCTTTGTATGAGCCTCTTCAGGAAGGGACTATTATCTCTTCTCGTCAGAAAGTCAATCAAACAAGGACAGCAGCCAAGTAAAAAAATTAAAAAATACGCAAAATTACTTTTAAAAAGTCTTCAGTCCAACTTGTCCTCATCTAAATTAAAAAGATGTCTAAATTTGGTATGAATGGTGATCAACCCCCAAGGACCACATT